ACGTGAAAGCAATGGAAGATTGGCCAATCTCCAAAGATGCTTCTACAGTCCACTTATTTTTAGGCCTTGCTAGATATTATCATAATTTGTTTGGTGATTTACTCACATTGTTGCCTCATTGACAAACCTATTGAAGAAAGGTGCTCCATTTGAATGGAAACAAGAACAACATAGAATCTTTGATAAGTTGAAAAAGACACTCATTACTACTCTAATATTACAACCATATGATCCTAATCTTCCTTGTACACTTAACATTGATGCTTTTGACTTTTCTATTGGAACAATCTTTCAACAAGACTTTAGTAGGCACCTTCAATCTGTGGCATTTCAATCATGCAAGCTTAGAAGGATAGAACATAATTACTTTGTATGTGATCGAGAGCAATTAGCAATTATACATGCTACAAAGGTGTGGCGATACTATTTGTTGAGAAAGCCAATGGTTGTTTGGATTGACGATCAACCCTTGCTATACAATTCGCATCTAAAAAATATGAATTCACAACATCATCATTGAAAAGAATAATTGTAATTTTTGGATATCCAACTTAAATAAAAATAAATGTGAAAACATGCTAAATACCTTATTGAGGAGATTAGACTTAAAAAACAAATAGAAAGATAAGGCAGAAGTTGCTACCATTAATAATATCATTTCAAATCTAACCAAAGAGGTAGAATAGAAGGAAGCTAAGCATTGGATGCTTATTTCAAGATAGTTAATAATTAGTTAAAGGTAGACAATATATAATATCAAGATTAAACTTTTAGTGATGGCTTATTCTATTGCAAGAAATAGAGATATGTTTCTGACAATGCTATATTCCAGATGCACATTTTAAGAGGGACATGACATTCTAATATCTGGACATCTGGGACAAGAAAAGACTCTAGAACGGATCTCAAGGATATGATTTTGGATAGATTTGGATTGTGATGTTTGAGCCTGTATACGCTCTTATGAGTCATGTCAATGTAATAAATCACACAATATAGCATCTTTTAGATTATTGCAGCCAATTCTACTACCTATAGCATGTTGGGAGTAGGTGACTATGGATCTCATTACATATTTGCTGTAGATGTCTTGTGATCATACTGCAATTGTCATCTTTATAGATTGACTCTCAAAGCAACTTTACTTGGCCATAGTACTCTCGGATATTAATGTCCCAGTGTTTGCACAAGTCTTCTTTGATACCATCTTTCATCACCATGGATCACCTTATGTCATTGTTTCAAATCAACATTTATGCTTCATAAGAAGTTTTTGGCAAGCCTCGTTCAAGCTATTAGGCACACAACTTGTCATGTATATAGTCTTCTATCTCCAAATAGATAGGCAAATAGAACATACAAATCAGACCTTGGAGGATATGATGTGGGTATTTGTGGTAGTTCATTATAATAATTGAGATGAATACTAGACGTCCTTAGAGTCTGCTTATAATGATAGTATTCAAGTAAGTATTGATCAATCACCATTTTTCTTTAATACCAGTTAGCATGTAATTATCCTAGTAATTCTCCATTGTCTCATTGATACCAACAACCCAACAATGGAAGAATTTATATAATGGCTTACAATGATCTTACAAGATGCACAATATCCCCTCCTTATTATACAAAATCAACAAAGATAATATATAAATAACCACAAGTAATGCAAGATCTTCAGGGATAGTCATCAAGTATTACTTTCCAATGCCAACTTGCTATCTACTACATCAATCCAAATTCATAAACTAGCACGTCAATCGCTTGGACTTTTTTATATTTTTGTAGTGATTTTTAATGTCAAATATTGCCTCAAGCTTCTGCCACATATTCAGGCCCATCCAATAAAGACGTTCCACATTAGTGGAGGGGGATTAACTATAACATGATATAGATAAGATATTTATATAGGAATAGATAGTTAGAACCATGAAAGTTTCTAGAATTGGGGTTAAGTTAGTAAATCAGATAGGATCCATCATAGAATATTCTAGAAAGAGTTTAAGATGATTATCTATATATGGCCCACCATAGAACCTTCTAGAAGGAATTTAAGGTGATTATTTAAATGAAATCTATCACTTAGAAGTATTTTAGAAAGTTCGGGATCATAGAACAAAGTATAAATAGGACTAGTCAAGGCCTTTTGAAGCATCTGATCAGGTATGGCTTTGGACCTTTTTTTTTAATAAAATTAGATTTTATATCTTCTTATTTTGTTCTATTATGTCGTAATTCTAGTTGCTTAGTTTTGTCTTCCGTATCTCATTCTATTTAGTTTTATTCAGTTTTGTTCTGTTCAATTTTAGGTTTAGTTTTAGTTAATTTTGTAATGAAATTTTATGTTATTGTGGATTAGAAGGGTCTTGGACACTTGAGATAGATTGATCTTGTTTCAACATGTATTTTAACTTGTAAGACAAGTTTTTTATATGTGCACCATATAGTTAGCTTATATTACAAACTCTTAATATGTGCAACACTTAGTTAACTTGTTAGCTAAGTATTCAACCTATCAATTACTTGTAGAAAAGTATAAAGGTAAAAATATGTCTATAAAACTTCTAAAAAGCTTCTCTATAAGATATTATCAAATTAATTTATTTTTACCAATTTCTGTCTATCATATTATTTGAATAATAATAAAAATATATATGAATGTTTATAACATTATTCCCCCTTTTAAAATCAAGTTCCATGAGGAATAGTGATATTATGTTGATGAAGTCTAAGATGTGACAAATTATATTTGTCACTTAATTTAATCTTTGTTTCCTTCAAAGATAGTTGATAGGTCCTCTTAATCATTGATAATGTTCCATTCTAAGGTAAGAAGACTACTTTGATATATAATCATTATTAAGGCCTTTGTAATTTCTTTCAAATAAAATAATTGAAATACCATTAGGAATCATTTCTATCTCCATTAAAATCACCAAACATTGGGACTCTCTTCCAAGGTCGTGATACCAAATGTGTTACATCTTGCCATCTATTCAAAGAAGAATATATTGTTTTTGGAGATTTTCATCTCGATTACGTTTTTTTGAAGGTTGTGACTATTGCAATGTCTTAATATTACAACAAAGTAATCATACCTTATTGCCAATGTAGAATTGACGTTATTCCTTGTGATAGGTATTTACATTGAATTTTTTTTGTTTTGAGCTTTTTTTAATTGTACTTTCACTAGTACATGTAGCTCAGATAAATGATTTGTCAAATCTTTTGCTGCAAGATTATTAACTTTTGAAAAGTCAAAACCATTAAGTTGTAGATGGTAACCATAATTGGCAAAAAAATATATTTTCTTTCTTTTGATACAAGATACAAATATTTAGAAAAGGTATTTGATAAAATATATATATATGTATATATATATATAGTAGAAAAGTAATCTTGAAATAAAAATCTTGATAAAGACATACTCTAATGGACTTGGCAACAATTCAAAACATGTATTGCCATGAAATATTCAAGATGCTTGTGATTTGTATATATAATGACTGGATAAGAAGTATGTTTTAGATAATGATGCTATTTTTGAAATAAATCCATGATTACAAAAAGTTCTTTGATATAGATTTGTAGTTGATTTTTACTACTAAAAATTTCTTAGAATAGAAGACTATTGGATAGAACTTGTGATTTGCTTCCATTTGTAATAATATTGCAGTAAAAGAGTTTTTTTGATGTTTTGAAGATAAGTAAGCCTAAGATCCTTCTTTATTAATTTTTATAAATATCTAAACCTCTAAAAATCTTCTGTGACCATCTAAGATTCTTTAAAATCTTCTACAATCTTTTAAATTCTTCTTAAAATCTACTAGGAGCTACTAGGGCCTTTTCAAAACTATCAAGAATATTTGAGAACTTTCTTCTATTGTATATATATATATATATATATATATATATATATATGATATATATCTATTACTTTTCAAAAGTAAGTAACTTAATGGAGATAGAAATGATTCCTTGTGGATATATATATATATATATATATATATATTTATTACTTTTGATATATATCTATTAAGTTACTTACTTTTGAAAAGTTCCATTGGAAACAACTTCCAACTTAAGACTTGAGTTACATGCTTTGTAGTTCATATGAAGCTTTCAAAAGATTTTTTTTATAGCTAATAAATATAAAAGCAAGATAGACACCATGATTAATCTTGTAAATACCTTCTTTTATATTTTAGTCTTGATTTAAGGCTCTCTAATCTCTTTATATTTAATAATATCCATTTCAATTCTTTTCTACATTATAACTATCTTTTTTTTATTTTTTATTTTTTTTATTTTTTTCACTAATACATTAATATATTATCTTTTAGATTCTTTCTAGATTTATTTTCTTAACAAGGATTAGATTGGTTGAAAAAGACGTGGATGTCTTAGAACTTTAATCTAATTAAAATTTTATTTTTTATATTTTATAATAAAAAAATTACCAAATTAGAGAAAAAAAAATAGACTATGACAATACAATTGCAAAATATGAAGATTGTTGAAAAATACCTAATTTTTTTGGCCACTTTAAAAGGTTGATGTTTGTTTGCAATAAAATGGTATTTGACATCTCCATTATGAACTTAATAAAGGCCAATTTTTCCAACTTGAAATACAAGAAGAACACTTTCTGAGGTACTCTTATTAACTACTCATAATGCAAGCAATATGTAGACTTTACCAAAATATTATTATAAACACCTTCCGATATATCACGGCTCTAAATACTGTGACGAGAGAGTGGTATGTCAACTGCCTAATTTGATGTAGAATTAGTGACTTCAATTAGGTAGATAGGTAGATGCCTAATCTACATTGGCCTGGTCATGAGGACAAACTGCAGGACCTAGAGTCTAGTAGACCCGACATCAGGCCACGCTGTCGCCACATCACCTCAACTAGTCGTCCACGCTGTCGCCACGTCAGCCGAATGGCATGTGGTGCTGTGCAAGTTCACGGGTGGGCAGCTTTCAAGTTGGCGTGGTAGTCCAAATTTCAATATGGACTTGCATCGAGAGCTGGTTTTTTCAAGCGATTTGAACTGTGAACTTTCGTGATCCTGCTTTTGGTAAGTTGTATGTGTTTGGTGGGTTCACGTTGATCAGTGGTGAGGATGCAGCAAGCGTTTACAGTTGTGGGACGCGCTGGCAGTGCATGGAGTTTCTCCCGGTTGCCACCACCATGCACGAATTTGCAGAAAATTGTTCCGGTGAGCAATCGTCCCATGAATTGATGCAAAATGGGAGGTGGGTTTTGGGAGGAATACGTCTATGCTTTAGCGATTCCTAATTCCGTGCTCAGGCACCCCATGCTGATTTCACGATGATGATGTGAAGTCTTCGTGTGTTTGGTGATGGGTTTGACTGCTCTGGCCAGTTACCTTCCTGTCCTACTTTGCTCTCAGATATCTATTGGAGGTTTTGGGTGCTCTGGAGGAGCCGGGAGGACCGGGAGGCTGACAGAGACTAGAGAAGCGCCCTACTCGTGGGTTCCGATCCGTGCTGCAAGCCAAGGTGACGATATTCTATCGTTTCTTTTTGGCTACAATTGCCGATTGTTCGGTTGGTGCTGAATTTCGCTGTGTGGTTGTAGAGTGGTTGTAGAGTGGTTGTAGAGTGGTTGTATTCTGGCCCCAATTTTGAAGTCTAACTGAGATTTTCGCTTCGTGCGATATTTTTGTGGAGGGATGGGGTTTGACGAGATCGCGCTTTTGAATAATCTCTATTTCGTGAAGGCGATTTGTTCTGTTGATACGTTGCGAGAATACGAGTAAATATAGATTGACGCTCCCGAGAGCCGCATCTGATAGCTACGTATGAATGCAGAAGGTTCCTCTTCCGAGATGACATTGGAGCAGAAGAAGTGTATCCCTTGTGAGACTGGCAAGCTCCAGCCCCTGTCTGAAGAGAAAGCCCAGTCGATGCTTCCTCAGGTCTTTCAATTAGCTTGTTGCCTATTTGATGTTCTGACTTGTGGTTGGAATTTTTGCAATCGATGCGCAAGAATTGAAGGGTAAAATATTTTACACGTGAATGTGAAGAAGTGAAACATTTTTATCATCATTTTGTTATTCATTTGGTTGATGATGCCAATTATGGCTGTTGAAGTTTGGAACGGTAAGAATTAGGGTCATTTGTGGTCTATAACTCTACATTCGTGATTCCCAAGTGCAGGTTCCAGGCTGGGATCTCAAGGAAATTGATGGGATACCGCAATTATGTAGAAACTGGAATGCCAAGAGTTTTGTGAAAGGACTTGAGATCATGAAGAGGGTTGCGGGTGTTGCCGAAGCAGAAGGTTTGTTGATTTCAATCATGTAGTTTGTACTGCATTTACTGTTGCACTTTAAAGACAGTTTAATGTACATTTGATTTATCATGTTAAGTGGTTGTCTGGTAGAAAGGTACAGTTTCTTGAAATCGTGTACTGAGTTTCTGGAATTTTCTTGTGTCCATGTTTCCCTGTTATTAATATTATACTGTAAGAGAGTTGTTTACAGGACATCATCCAGACCTGCACTTAGTGAATTGGAATCAGTTGAGCATCAATATGTCCACTCATGCAGTCGGTACACCTTGGACAACCTCATTCTATTTTGAGAATTGCCATAATTTCCGAGTCAAACGTGGTAACGTCTGTATTGCAATTCGGGTTCATGCACACATAAGATGGTTTCCCTGATTTTCTTGGTTGTGCATAATGCAGGTGGGCTGACGGAGAATGACTTCATTGTTGCAGCAAAGATTGGGGCTCTAGATCTTACAGATCTTGTACGTAAACCAAAAGCAGCTCCTAAGTAACCTCTGGAATCATCTTTTCTGGTCAGGAGCAAATAGTTTGGATAGGTGATGCGATAATGTACGTTTTGAAACTCGAACATATCAAGCCTACGTGGGCTTATTAAGACTGATATGCAGTAAGACCCAGTTCCTGCATGGTACTTGGTGTCTGCGTTTGGTTCGTTTTTCGGCATCCAATTGAAGACATTGTGTGAGCAGGTGTCAGAGATAATGCAAATCGAGCTTCTACGCTTCGAATTCTGAGGTTTATAACGAAGCACTTGTACACGTAATAACCACCTGCTTCCCAGTCTCTATGATAGAATTACTGAATTCAGCACATGTTCTTCTCTCTACATGTGTGACTTAATTCTAAATTTAAGTAACTCATCAACCAAGTGCAACTTGATTGTTTCAAAGAACAGAGATTCCATATCAGCAAACATAGGCAGCAACGAGGTTCTCCCTGGTCGTGGGAAAATAGTGTTGAGCAAAAGAAATAGAGTAATGGGTCGAGATCCATTGGCCAACACATGAAAGGATTATCTCTGACACCTGCCCACACAATGACAGTTACAATAACAGTTTTTACAGATTTCCCACGTATTAAAAATACTGCTCATCAGAAACAAATGTATAGACATCGATTACTACAAAAATCATGGGAAAAAATCACGTAAGCCACATCTTGGTTGTGATAAAACATGCGCAGCAGCGAACATGCATAAAATATAGTCCCTCCAATCCATTCTTCCGAACCATCTACCCTTGTTTCTGCAACAATTTCAGTCCAGTATCACGAGCTTAGGCGAGTTCCACGTTCCTTAATTCTGAACTTCAGTAACTCGCTGTTTCAAAATGCTTCAAAACTGTCCATCTACCGCCTCAACTACTCATCGTTTCCCACTGTCTCAACGTTGCACACATTGCAGCTGTCTGCGCACAAGCAACAGGCACATTTATCTTTACTTTTTCGCGCAGAAAACCTACTTTCGAGAAGACACAAACCACAACAATTTGTCATCCAAATGTATCGACTCCATGTCTACCACACTACTCACTCTACCAAGTCCAAATCTAAAGGATAAGTGAGGCTCACAACATTCAGAATAGCGGAGACGACATTTTTATTCCTTTTTATCATTTTTCATGTAGAACTAATGGAAACAGAGCACAACAGACTACATTTTCCAGGTTCCATGATAACTTCACCTCAACCTATCAAGCAACTGTGAACTCTTAAATGTAACGTGAAAGCAGAAGCTACATTTCCGGTGCAAAATTGAAGTACGCTTAACACTACAATAAATTGGTATTGATGAGATAACTGTGCACCTTTTGTAGTGCTGCAGCACCTATCCATGCCTCTGAACCGAAGGAACAGCTATCTGTACAAAAATAACCCCTCAACCACTAATCCACATGTCAGCTAGTAATAGATAATATACATGTATGCTTCTAGTTGGGTTAAAACTGCTTGTTACATTGATCAAAGTGATTCTAAGTCGCATCCTTGATAACTTTAAGTCAATCAAGCAGCAGGCTTAAGTTAGTTGTTGAGAAACGCGGCATCTCTCAAAAAGTAATAAAAACTTTAGTATGCGCCCGCTATGAAGACCTGCCTCTTCCAGTTTGACTGTCAGTATTAGGGCTTTCAAGATGGTACACTATCCTCAAGGGGTATCTTGCAGAGTTGGAGCTACGAGAAGAACTCCCTGATTTTTGCCGTGCTTGCAGCAGTACAGCTTCCTCTTTCAGTGACTTCAACCTCATATTGTTCTGCTGTAAGCGATCCCAAAGTGACATGGAAACAGGGCACAGACAGTACTCCAGAAGCTTTGTGAGAGAAGCTTGATACGTTGAAGAAAGGTGAATTGCAGCAAGGGGATGTAATTGGCCTCTCTTATTTGTAGATTGTTTCATAGCAAGATTATATGCGGCATGCTCTTCTGTAAAAAGAGTACTGAATGTCACCGAGAAGAAGCCCCATGATCTCTTCAGTTTCGGTAGAAAGGGCGTGTGTAACGCACGTGAGCCATACCTCCTGCGTAACCTTCACCCCCTCGAACGCCATCTCTATCTCCAAAACAAAGTGATATTTGTTTCTGCTTCGCATACGTTGATTCTCGCATGGAATAAATCGTAAAACTCTACACCTGATCTCTAAAGCTGTTGTCAGCAAAACGAATACCTGCACACAAGCACGTAATTTGGACACAATCAGATACCAAAGCTTGCTGCCCCTATTTGTTGACTTCCCTTCACAATGTCCCCTGCTTCACTCCATTTTACTCTAAGCACAAGTTTCCTTCAAATGCATACGACGTAGCAATTTAGATGAAAAGCACGCACAGGGTACAAGTCTCTTAACAATTCTTAGTTCCCATTCTCGTGATAGGAAATCCCTCTAGAGCATCCTAAAACCTGGTTGTCAGACAACTATATTACTCCACAATGAAACCCGCGTACAGCTCAACCAGAACAATATTACAGACGCTTCATGCACTACTGATCACGTCAAACGGAATAAAATCCAAACTCAAATTGTAATAGCACAACAATTTAATCACAACAAAACAAAACAAAACAAACAAACAAACTCACTTAATGAAGTTCTACACGTGCAATTCAAATTGGGAGTGGCAGTAGATTGATCGATAGACGACCGAACTCACAACTCCCTCCAACAACCAATTCCTCCTCACCAAGTTCGTTAATTCCTCCTCAGCTCACTTCTTCCAGGTTATGATACGCCTCCAATTCGAAACCCTCAAGACTTGTTAACCCGCGGTTAAGTTTGCACTCGAAAATGCAGTACATCCTCCGAGGATCGGATACAAGACTGATCCCGATGCCGAACGTCCAGGGATATGAACCTGGAAGCCATGACACATAGAAATCACACAGAGATACGGTTTTAAGATACGAAGGCCGTGACCCACTTCTAGAGGTAGACGACAGCAGGTGGTGATGACCCGATCTTCCTCTTTTGCGGCTGCGGCAGTCAGTTCGTCAATGATATGTCTTCATTCTAGTTGGCCAGAGTTGGGATTATGCAGACAGAAAGAGGGTAATGAAGAAACTTCGTATCTGCGTCTTAATTTATACGGGAAACTCAATTCTTCATGCTCCTACTACCTCTTCAATGCAGAATTCTACAAAGACGTCTTTGGGTTGCTTTTCCATGCTCGGATTCTAATGCAAGAGTTTCATGTATGATCCTTGAGTCGTTCCATTCCGTTGCAATCTTTAAGAAATTGGTCAGTGATTAGAAGCAAGATTGTTACTCATGTCTCGGTTTTTACGTTGTGAGTTCGATCTTCTAACGTAGATATTTAGCGTTCTATGGAAGGCTAGTAGCACTTCTAAAGATTTTATGCAATCCTCCCACCGTAGAGTATGAAAACAAATGCTTTCTAAACAGAACAATGTGCTTTGGTAATGATTCTTTGGTTTCTTGCTCAGTTTTTAATTTTTTAGATATTAGTACTACGCGTTGAATCTTGGACAGTGAAAGATTAGAGGATTTGAATAACATAGCACAGCTTGAAATCTGTTTGAAACATTTCAAGTATCGTCTTATATTGAAAAATGCGCAATGTGATGTCTTAAGATCCATTACACTATCTATCTTCTCCTGTGGTGAGGACAGCAGATTGTCAATTCTCTCCAATTAAATATGGCTCAAATGAAGTATGTGGAAGCCACGTACAATGAAAGTAAAGCACATCAAACGCGGTCATGAAGTAGTGTGATATGGAGCACTAACACAGACATTTGAATCTTTATTTTGCATTTTGCAAACTCAGCTATTCAAAATATTACTTGAAAGGACCATCAAAAATAGTGAAGACCAACGGGCTTAAGTTCTACTCAGAATCTGGCTCTCGGATGTGCACAAACACACTTCCTTTGTTCCCTCGCGCAATTCTGATTTTACTGTCTATATACCTGTACACCACCCAACACAGCTGAATGAATTTCGTGGTTTCGGCAAAATTTCTGGGTTTTCGAGTTAGATCACTCTGCATGGACGCTAGAATAGAGTTATGCATCAATCCCATTCTGTGGATCAGACTTTCTATTCTGGACTGTAATCAGAACAAAGAATATTCCTATACATGTGTTGTCAAGCATTACCAATTGAATGATTAAAACAGAAAAAGAAGAGACAGAGAAAGAACTTTACAGGATATCAGTGTAGCCTTCCGCAGATATTTTCAATGGTATTTTCAGCTCTCCCAACTCCAGATCCGCTCCCTCGATATTCACAGACCGTCGTGTCTCGGAGATGGTTCTGTATCGACCAATTTTATTTTATTTAGGGCAGACATTGAATAAAATTGTGTGAAATTGATTGGAATTGAGTGAAATGTGAAGTATACATGGCCTTGCTAACCCTGGAGCTACATTCCTCTCAACATCATTCTGAAGTACAAAAATTCTATCATATGCTTACTCAGAACGTGCTCTTGCTCTCAGGCGAACACCGGGGAGAAACCGAACCAGATTCTCGAATCTTCCAGTCTCCGGTTTCACTATCTGCAGGGCAAAAATAAGTAAATAAAGAAATACAAAAAAACATCAAAAAAAAAGCATGGTGCTATCAATCTATCAATTTTTAGCACGTTTTGCATGAAACTTATTCAACGGGATACGTTACTCATGACCAACGGAACTTTACACCTAGAATCAAGAGCCAGAAGAACTACCTGCCAGTTTGGAATGTTTGAGGTTGCCTTTTGAAGCCAATTAGCATCTGCGGTCTGAAAATCCAATCAAGTTCGACAATACCAATGTTAGATTTCCTCTAAGAAATTTTACGGAATGTGCATGGACTTTGTTAAGCCTAAATTCAAAAATAAATAAATAAATAAACAGGGTCTCTCAGTCTACCTGAGAACTCCACAAAAGACGCCACTTTCCAGCAAGGATAGACAAATCAGTAGGAGCTTTTGTTGGGTTGTTTTTGACGAGCTCATCAATTTCCTGTCGTCCAGAGAATAGAAAACGTGTTCAGAAAAATGTTAAGCACTAAGAAAAAAATCAACACCTGCCAGAAAAGTTGATATGTGATACAGCAAAATACATTTGTGACTTTGTCACCGTGCTTTCACCTTTTCAACGTCTGCCTTTGAGGCAATTGCTCGAAGCAGCCGCTGCCGCGGATCGACATCCTTTTGCAGAACGAATGTCGTCCCCTACAACAATAAAAACAAACAAACAAACAAACAAATAAATAAACCTTGAAATGGAGGGTGCGAGATTCACATGTTGATGCCGTGGATATACAACACTGACTTTGAGAAAAATACTGAAATCCATAACACAAACACAGAAAATTTGACAGTATGTAGAACACAGTTCTGTGGGTATTCATACCTTGTTGCCTCTAGATATCCGAATGCTCCCATTCGGCGACAAGTAAGTTGTATCAAGCCAACCTTTGGCTTCGTCCCCCAAAAATCTAAATGGAACAGGGTAAGGAACTTTGAAAGGCAAGAACTTGAAGGAAAATGCGGCTTTGTCAAAGCGAAATAAAATCCGCTCTCCACTGTTTACTGATGCAGCTGCCTGCCAAAATTGGAACATCATCATTCATATCCATGTATCCCCTTCTCTACAATTTGAAAAAATTCAACTCCACATTGAAACGATATATATATATATATATATATATATATATTTTTTTTTTTTTTTTCTTTCTTTCGATCATACCTCTACTTTAAGCTCGCCTATTTGTTCAGAGAATCTGACGATGTTGCTAACACGAGGATCGTCAGTGCCCCTCAATACAATCTCTTGAAAAACGGCAAAAGCATCCACTCCCACGAAGGTTCTCTGCGTCAACAACATCATCACAGTGTCCATAATCTTAGCTTTGGAATACTATGTCCTCGTTGTGAAGGTAAATGAACGGAGTATGGAAAAACCTTGCAACTTGCTTAAGAAGGCTGTACATGTAGCACTTGGACATGCACCGAACAGAGAACATAGGCTTCAGACGATGCCTTACGGTATACTAGGAATCCCTAAAAAGGGTTTCAAACAGTCAAGGAGCAAGGTGCATAATAAAGGGTGACCACCACTTCTCCTCAATTTTACCTGAATCGGCGATGCGGTTCCTGGCCTGGTGGTGTACATGAGCTGCCATCGTCCTTCGATCAGTGGTGACCCTGTCTGTTGCCAAAAGAAAGGGGAATCAGAAGCTGTGTTCTCCGAATTGTGGTAACTCCAGAGCAAAGAACAATTGTCAAGCTCTTGAGAAATGGCTACGTTTCCAAGCAGTCCATATGTGAGTAGGAAAACATTTCAGGGATTTTGGGTGGGCGTGCTTACAGGCTCTGGCACACCGCCCGTGGCTTCCAGTGCAGACACTGCCTCAGCTACATCCTGAAAAAAGCCCCCAAAAATTAATCAGATTGCACTGATTGGAAAGCCCTGCAAATATTATCTCAAGAATGTTTCAAACAAATTGTTCGAAACCCAAATGTGTTCCACCGATAGATCATAAAAAATCGGAAATCGAACTAGCGAATTCCGAAAAACCTGAAGCTGTTTACTCGAAGCAGAGCGACCGCGCCCTTGCACTCCAATCAAGGCCTCCACCAATGCAGTCTCGCCTGAATTCTCCGCCACCTGTTGCGTGGCTGGAGCCACCATAGCCGTGATCTTCATTTGCTGCCTGTGCACCACAATCCCCGCGCCATTCCTAGCCACTTGTTTGAACTTGCAACACCTATCGCCATAAAATCTAGTGCTTACACGTGATTGAGAACAAACTCCATCAGAGTAAACTTGCTGAATTCTCAATCCCAGGGTCGCCATCACCTCCAACAACAACAACGACGACGACGACGCCGCCTTTCGCCTCAATGAAATACAAAACCTCCGAATCTAAAACTCTTCTCCTCACAAAACTTCCCAAATTCTTCACAATTCTCTAACCTGAGGGAGTCAGGCAACTCTGAATCACTCACTCACTCACTCACTCCCGAGCAATCCTGCCGCATCTAATTGACTTTGTTATTTTTTCTACACAATTGGAAGGCAAGGACCACAACCCCCAACGATTCCGAGCTGCCAAATGCACGTTCCTGGTTGCATGAACGTCGTGGAGCCATAAAAGCACAATTGTCTCCGCTGCCAGTGGGGGGGGGGGGGGGGGGGGCTTCAGAGCCTGAGGTGGAGACGATCGCACAATGTAAAGCCCAAAACAAAAACAAAGGGCCCTTTATCCTGCGTCCACAAAACCATCGCTTCATCCATCTATACCAACACAAACACAGAGAGATAGACTTCACATCCATCCATAATTGGTGTAAAGCTTCAATTTTTAGAAGGATTTATGGTGTTTCATTTTGGTTTCTGCAAACATATAGAGTTACTTGCAAAAACCCATGTGGTTAGGCACTGAAAAGATGTAAACTTACTTACTGTATAAATAGTAAAGTGGAGGTCTTTCTTTAGGTTGTGCAAGGCTTTCTGTTGGTTAACGATTTCTTTGATTTTGGTCAACGAGAAGACTTCTTTATGGCTTTGTCTTGTAACTGAGCTTCCTTATTGTGTAAATGCACATCTTTTGCTATTTTGTTTCATATTTTTGTGCAGATGAAGAGCATTTTTATTTATTGTATATCAAGCACATATGTAAGGATTTTTTTTATATATTTAGGTTTAATAGAAGATGATTCTTATGATACAAATATTATAGCATGATTTTTATTTTTTTAATGATATTTGAATAGAAGGTTACAAAAAGTTGATTTGTGTTATTTGGTAAGTTGAGGTTTGGATAAACTTTCACACATTGTTTGATAATACATTAAAAAGATTTGCCTTTTTATAATTGATTGTAAAGATTAATTTTTCATCTATTGAGGTAATCTCCTTATCCTTAGATTTTAATCATTTAAAAAACCATACTACAATATGATACATATGGAGGACAAAAATATTGATAAAATAAACTATAATATAACAAAAAATATGAAGAATTTGAATATATATATATATATATTAATAAATAATAAATAATTTCAAATATAATATATTATCATAAATAAAAAATTTAAATAACCATAAATTTATTCAAACAAAAATCATCTAATCTTTTGATAAAGATAGTAAATGATAATTCATATGTTTAGATTTTTAAACATCTACTTATAGACTTTTAATATTAAAAACTATAATTTTTTTTGAAAAACTTTCTAAAATAGATCAAATTTTACCATGAATTAATTCAAGCTATGATCCAAATTTTAAAATTTTAATTTTAATATAATTTTATTTTAGTAATATTATTGATTACATATAGTCATTACAAAAGGCTGAAGGCCTTAAAATATCATACTTACACTAGAAACATAAATAAAACCTATATCAATAAGAACTAAGGCTACATTAAATTAGTTCAAAGATTATTGTTTAATAATTGTTTAAGACAAAGTAGAATGGCTTGATAGAAGAATGGTATGCCAAAAAAAAAAAAAAAAAAAAAAAAAAAAACAAGAATAAAGCTAAAAGATATAATAAAAGTTGTCATGCAAAAGTAATGTACTAAAACAGAGTGGTGTTTATGCCACCACAATTCTAACTACTACTACCACATGCTATCATATTTTTTTGCTAATACTCTCACAAGCAACCTTAAACTTGCATTGCACATTCCAATGCACTATATGGAATGCTAAAATACACATCTAAAAAAAATGTAAACTTTATTCATTGTGTGTACATTAGCAATGTTCCATAATTTGTGGGTGGGAATAGAAAACAAGTTGTGGTGGCAATAGAAAACATTGTGGTACCATTAGCAACACCCATAAAAAAATATGAGATTATACATTGTGAAAGCACATGGTAAAAAGTATAAATACCCTCGTTAAACTTAATCTAGAAACTACCTTATATGATCTTGTAAAATAAACATAAATATGATGGCATTTATAAGACATGAGATTACTTCATGCTTTGAGGCCTATAAAATACACTAAAAATAATGTAAATGCTTATTGTTGGTGTGATTGAATCAAATTGGAAAGTGATCTTAAAAAGTTATCACATGGGTGGGGACCATTGAGGTAAAGATACCTAACTAACACGTAATTCTAAATGAACAAAAATCAAAATAGCCATATACACAAAAACATTCTCATAAAAAACCTGAATCCTAGTAACAAAAAAACATGTGTGTATTTATAATTATAGTCTTCCTCTTCTGTGGAAACCATAAATCCCTAATGCCTGCATTTCGGTTGCGTAAATGGTTGCCTTTATTTTCGCATGTATGAATAATGGGCGGAGGAAGTACAAAGGTCAAAGCGCAAACTGGGTCCTGCACAATCTGTGGTTGGGAAGGGTAAAATGTGGTGGCAAAAGCCCTTAGCTGTACTTCCATCTTTGGCAGCATTTGAATTGTGCAGATAAAATATAAATTGGACATTCAGGTCGGCAGTTGAAAGAGCATTTATCATTTGACGACTATTCTCATGACCCGGCGCAGAAATTTCAATAGTTATTATAACAGTATAATAACTACTTCAGATTCTGCGCAACTCTATACAAAATCAATCGTATTTTCAGGTTACATTGTCGTGAATTCATTATCAGACAGTCGGACGTCATGGGACTAGAAAACTTTCTGGTTTCTACGAACTGATAATACACTAGAACTGGTCAGTCATGTAGCAATCGTGAACTCATCTTCGTCATTGTCTCACCTTAGACTAAAAAACATCAAACAACTTGATATAAGAATTGAATAAAGTACGGTCTTGGGGTCGTTAATATTGAATTAGAATCGCAAAAATGGAGTAGATTGCATCTGCTTACCAGCCTAAATTCAAGATAGGATAAGAACCTGAAAAAACCCACAACGACCACTCAGTTTGTTGACTACTTAAATCTTGTTGAGTCAGCCAATAAGTCTAAGAGTTTGCAAGATGTCGACTGCAACTGCACTGGAGATACAGCAAATAAATCGTAAATATGTGCGTCTAAACTAGAATGTCTACCATACGAATAAAAGAATGGCTATCTCATCTGATTCAACTCAAGTATTAACTACCTGACCACCCGATGAGTAACTTGTCCGAATACGAAATATTTGTAGACTTGTGGAAGATTAATTCTGCAAAGGATTGAGCATTGTCAGGAGAGTTACAAGAGGCACATTCAACAACATAACCACACAACTGGCAATAGAGACGATTTAGCTTGTACAGACATGATAGGCCCGTAGAGTACGATGTAATACTTCAACCGTAAGGAGGTTTATTTAGGAGAACTAAAATATGTCACTGATGTGAAAACATACGGATAATAAGCACCTCAATTATTTGAAATTCATAAGTGATGTATGGGGTTAAATTTTATTAGTGTGAATGAAAACTACCACTACAATTTGTCACATATAACCAAAAATAAAGACACAAGTTGATATATATATATATAAGTATTTACTTTTCTCAGCAATATCATCTGTCCAAAAGTCGCTCCCGTTGTTGTAGTGTATCATCAACAAGTTCAAGATTCGAAATTGTGGTAGTAACTCGTCCCACCAGCTGCTCTACAGCAGCCTGCGCACACGAAGAGACAGATTTTCTTAAAAAAGGTTAAGAGAAAATAAAACAAAATAGAGAGAAAAAATGAAAAATTAGCAAACGAGCCTTGTTTCAAAAAGTTCAGCAATATTTTTCACACCTTCAAATGACACATTTGAGAACTTGACACAACTGGAGCAGCTGGCTTTCCTCTATACGGAGTCATCTTCCTGCTTCCTGGGGACGACACTCGACTTGGACTTGCAGAAGATCCCCTGGCATACTCCTGTGACTCGGCTAGAACACGTTCACAACGATCTACCAACACCTCTATAACAGAACGGAATATTTCGTGGTTTTCAAATCTCATTGCATCTGCAAAACAGGGAAAAAGAGAGAAGCTGGTAAATGCGAAAAATGACAAGGTCAACCATGAACTAAAACCAAAGACAGACGTTGGCAAAAATATTCAAATATTTAATTAAGGAAAACAACAAAAATCACCAGCAACGTCAACTTTATGAAATAATTACACAAACCTAGCTCAGATTTGAAATTCAGTTCCGCTTCAGTGAGAGGTTTATGTCGTAAACCAGGCATATTGCTACAAGTTTTGATTCGCTGCTCAAGTTGCCAAGTCTTATCTAATGCCTTCTCAATACGTCCAGCAAGAGCAACAGTATCTCGCTGAGCCTGTTTAACAGTGTCCTGAGCCTGCTGTAATCGTTTGTGTTGATCCTCCACGTTTTGATGAAGTCGAGTTCCAAACGAAGTCAGTTCCACATGTACCTGCAAATAAAAACCAATAAAAACCTGTCGTCTTTGAAAGAAGATCAAGAAATAACAATCTTGCAGTGCATTACTGCACACACAAGAGAGGGAATATATATATATATATATATATATATATATATATATATATATATATATATATATATATATATACATTTGATGAAAGATGCACTATGGAATAGGCCAGCTTCACTACGCTTTCTTATGCAGGATTAGCTCCACAAAACCCTTTCTAAAACTAAAAAACAAAAAGGATCGATAATTTATAGTGCTGACGTCGTACCCGATGAGCATACTGAATGTACTTCTCATGCAGCAGTTTGCACTGATCATGGAGAAATGCACGACCCTCAATGCTATCCACTGTTAGAGGAGTGCCAGAAGATGCAATCTGCAGGAGATTCACAAAAATTTGTTGAGTTTCCAAACTACTTCAGGATGGACATGTTCTGAAACACTTGTATTCAGGAAGACCTACGTTTAGGCAGTACCAAGAGTTCAGAGGAATAAAGAGATCTAAATAATAGCAACACGATTGAAGGATCACCTGTGGAATAGGAATGTCTTTTGGTCCAAGAAGCAAGTCTCGACTCATAGTCTGGAAAACCCCAACCTCTGGTGCTTCATCGTCACTTTGCTTAGTGCCTTCCAAGTAAAGCGGAGTTGCTTGAAGGCGTTGTGGCTTTACATCAACCACTGCACAATCACCACGTGACGTAATTGCAACTAACCATGTCTCTCCCAAAGGATCCAGTATAGCAGCCGCCCCTAGCAAAGGTGAGGGTACGACACTACTACTAGGGCATGTATCCAAAAGTGGAACCAATGATGGACGCGGGTCTCCTGCAGCCAGGAAACAATGCAACTGAATCAATAAAGACTCGTCTTCAATCTGATTAGAATTTTAAGTTGCTTCAAGGAAAAAGAAACGTAAACTCATCAAAAAGTAGCCTTTCACTTACCAGTAAATCTTTTGTTCAAAGAATCATCAGAAAATGGTAACCATTGTAAAATAATGGCATCCATACCAGTCGCATGGTGACAGTAGAGCCTTTCAGGAACAACCGGATCGACAAAAAGAGAAATAGGAGCAGAAGATAACACCAGCGCAGGAAGGGAGAGCTCAACATCTGCGAGGCCCACCAAAGGTGGTGGTTGACCTGTCCAAGGGGTATTTGCATCTTCATCAGTAGCACCATCTCCATGTTGATTAACGATACTACGAAGAGATGCAGAGGTTGACAGCCGATCTTGCTGAGCAACTTGAGCAAGCATGCCAACCGATAAGATATGACCATCGTCATCTACTGTAAGTCGGGGAGGGTTGGCAGTATTCCACATGGGCTGCATCTCATCATCCACGCCATAGAGATGAATACAGCTATCTCTCCCACTCACGGCAAGTATGCTGTCCGAGCCTACAACTGTGTACGCTATATTTTCAGCCTGCTTTGCCACACTACCTGTTATAGGTAGAGGACCCTGCAAACATCACAACTGGTAATAAGCAACCATTATACTAACCCCATGCAAACTAATGCTACGGGCTGCTGCTGTAGCTAATGAAATTTGAAGACACTTTCAATATTAACTGCATGTCCTACATTAGCTCGACATGACAAAGTTAATAACATTAAAGGCAAGACAATCCTTCTGAGTACGTCAAATGACGAAAAGAATTAGATTCCGAGGCTTCAATTATGCATCGTGATATGCCCCTCACCAAAAAAAAACAACCCTGTGTAGCTAGGTATATACACGAAACGTGTCGGCTAGAATGCCAGAGATACTCACCTGAAGTAACACAGAAGCATCTAACGGAACATGCGCGTGTGCTTTCAACATAAAGGATGAAAGTAAAGCTTCTTTCCCTATGCTTTCTGACCACGCTGCAAGACCAGTAAATACTGACTCGAGCCAGGCGAGTGCCAAACTTGCGTTGCGCACCACTGTTGAGTCACGAGTGCTAGACGGTAGTGTGAAATGCATTGCGTCCTTCACCAGCTCATCAATCGCTGCTCCATTGAACATACTGCGTTACACACCAATCAATAAGGTACTATCAAAAACAATCGTCAATCGTGTACACGACGATTAGCTAACGGAAGGAACGGTTTTCAAACGAGCACACACCTGCTGAAGGACCAAGAATAAGTTGAACTGGGCACATTAAAAAGAAGGTAATGCGTGTAAGAAAAGGCTTGGTATTAGTACCTCCCAAAGGGCACAACAGGACAGAGAACGTAGATGGAGCCATTGCTGAAAAGTATGAAGACCTTTGCACCAGGGAAAACAAAACGCTCATCAGCTTAATTTTCTTCCAGCAACTCTATTACAAGAGACATTAGACCCTAGATAAGAAAGGCCTAGAGTAATTTCGTAATATGGTTCCTTAATGATTAGAAAGAGGCCTCTTTATCTTGACTTCGAAAAGCACCAGTACAAAACGCAAAGTTAGCATGTAGTGGCAAGCATGGCCTTGGAAGAATCCCATAAACGCAACGTCCTATGATACAATTCCAACAACAACGATAATCTGTAGCATAAATGAGCAATAAGTTCAGAACGCACTGTAAACCGATCCCAAAGATGTTCGCCACCAAAAGCAAAGCCAACAGCTCGTGCAAGAGGATGAGATCCTGGACGAGCAGGAAGTTCTGCTTGCAAGTGATACTCCTGCTCTGCTTCCTCAACGTCTAGCGATAAATCAAATAGCCTATTGTGACATTAAGTAAATCCAGCGATGTCATGTTAAAAAATAATAATAAAAAAAATGCACAAAGGTATTCTGAAAAGAATAATTACGACTACGTAGATATTAATGACACAACTGTCCACATAAAAACAAACGAAAATATCGAGTATTAAGGGCACTTAAGTTTCCCCGCTGATCTCCATGAAATGTTCAGATAAAGAAAGATGATGAGAGACATGAAAGCGACAACGTGTAATCATAACCCTAACCTGAGGACACCATCAGTTGAGAGAACTCCCAAATGAGTGTCGCTGTAAGGGTGCCATTCGACTTGCAATATGCGCAATGCATTCCAAGTCTTTTTATTAAACAGCCTGCTACCCCCGACCTTGCTAGATCTGCAACGAGTACGTCCCAGCAACTATCATTTCAACATGTGGAGCTATGCCAGCTTTCAATAATTAAATTTCGAGTCTTAAATTGAGAGACATCAGTCATTCATGCCGATGCTCTCCATGTCCGTGTAACCATAGTGTTAAATAATGGAGCTTGAAATAAAGAGTCTCGATATCAAGCACAGGAAAGATGAATACGAGTCGTTCAAGTAATAAAATGATATTCAAGACATCAAATTCAAGTACCTGACGACAGTTGCGCCTCCGGATGAGACTGAAGGAGCTGAGAAATGAGGAGCCAAGTCAAGTACGATCAAGCCAGTGTCCCCAGCAACTGTTAACGAACGCCCTGTTCTGTTGAACGCTATGTATCTCACAGTGAAATCGATTTCAGGACTGATTTTGAAAGTCTGCAGAATCCCCCCAAATCTTTCCGATCAACACAACCCACTAACACTCACTCAAGGATGGAAAATAAAATTCTGCGCCGAACAACTTCATTTGTTAAAAGTGTACTAACTATTAGAACGAAAATCATCTTCACTGCTGAATATGGTATCATCATGTAGTTCAAGCTAAATGAAAAGCGCTGGGGCAATCTTAAACTTGCTCACATAAACCCTAAGCCCTAAGATCAGCAAACAGAGTGTACCTGCGGCGAAGTCAGCCTCAGCGCTTTCTACAACGTTGCAGAAAGCGCTGGAGCAATCTTAAACTTAATTTCTACAACGAAAACACACAAGAAATCTAAAATTCGAAATTCGTAGAACCTACACAGAAAGCATGCTCTAATAGATTCCAACACATTGGATAAGTCTTGGTCGAATGAAAAACCTTAAAGATCTTCGAGGCAAACAGAGACGGATTGTCGGCATTGGCCTTCAGAGAATCGGAATGCTGCACTTCCACGTGATGCAGCAGCTGCTCTTTGGAATTCCAGGCGAACAAATGCCCTCTGCCATCACTCGCAATGAGGTTGAGGCCCAGCCGAGGCCTCGAAGTCTTCTCGTCTTCCCCTTCCAAGCACACCTTCTTGAAAATTGGATTCGATTGCAGCTTGTCGAAACGTGAGGCCGAGCCCTCGGCTCGCCCTCGGAAAACCTTGGACCGCTTCTCTCCACCATCTTCCTCGTCCCGTCCCCTCTCCCGCGACATCGCTGATCCCCCAAATAAGTCACACCTCCCCAATGCCTCACACAAAAAACCCACCCCTCCTGCAACGCCAAATCTAGTGCACAGACCTAAACACTAGAACCACACATGATTGAAGGGCTTCACCATCACGCTTTGCATCTCGTTATTCGGAAGAATCGCTGGCGTTACAAGGACTTCGAGCTTGGTTTTCAAATCATTCCCAAGCTCACGACGAAGAAGGAGGAGGAGGCATGGGTGGGTACCTAGGGGAAGAGGGTATGAGCGACCAAGGTATAGATGTCCCGAGGAGGAGGGTATGAGCCAAGCGAAGCTTAAATAATAATCAGCCATGATTTTTGTCTTTACTCTCTCGCTCGCTTTGTCTTTCTCTCTCCGTTGCGTGGAAGTAAGAAGAGCGAAGGTTTGAAAGACCTGGAGGAAAATGGAGGACGACAAAACGGGACGAGGAGGAGAGCTCCACAAACGGTGACGACGCCCTTCGCCACTTACTACAATCCCCCTCTTCTACTTCGCTTCTTCTACTCTGGATCCATTACCTGTTTCACGATTGCCGAATTTGACATGGAGTTGCATTAGCACATTCGGCGAGTGGAGAGGCGAGTTGCGCTTATTTGTGGAGCAGATGGTGGGGTTTTGAGTTTTTCCGAGGCCAGGGTAGGGTGCATTGGTCTTGCAGAGGCCATTTCTTCGAAGAGAGGATCGGTTTCGAGGAGCGCCGGAGTGAGATAAGAGTGTGAGTCGTAGTCTTTGGTGGAGACGTCGGTGTAATTACAAACATGGATGTGACGGAGAATGTGATGGAAAATGGGAGTCTACCTGGAGGTGACCAAGATATGCCTCGCGATGATGAGATGCAGGCGTTTCATAACCAAATTAGGGCTGTTGATGCGGAGAAGCTTGAATTTGTGGGTGATAAGGTGGGATTGCCTTGCTTTTTCACATATATTTTTTTCTCTTGCAAGCTGCGGACTGGTAATCGTGTAATGTATAGTCTTATCATGGTGCATTGATTTTGACCTCACGTCACACGGTTATTACAGAGGCGACATCGCGCAGAATGTGTAGTTTTCTGAAGGTAAGGCTGTCAAAATTACGTTGGGATGGGTGACGCCAATCTCGAATGCACGTGCCACTGAAGATAGGCACAATAAACATATGGTCAGTCTTAATAATGGAGCAGGTTTGTAGTTCAAAGAAGGTCAGAGACCTAAATACACACCTCTTTGTTGTTCTCAGAAGTGATCACAACATTGATGGAGTCAAAAACTTGACTAAAATCTGTACGAGTTAGATCTTGGCTCATAGTTTCAACCATGCATGTCTTTGTAGTAGCCTTTTCAGGAAGTATTGGAAAGTAGAAATAACGCTTTTCCTCCTCGCTCTTCTTGAGCTTCCGTCCTATTATTCCAATATATTATGGCACCATCGCCCTACCGTATGTCTTGGGTCTCCTTTCTTTGTGTTGAGGGTTTATCTAAGTTCGCGTCAGGGATGTCATTTAGATCAAGTGATTGGTTATTATCATAACATTGGACAGTTCGTGTGATTTGTCTTTTTTCTTTTTTTTTTCTTTTTTTTTTTCTTCTTACCAGACTAAGAGACGATAATGTATGCACGTACTTCATGCGCCAACTAAATTGAAAGGCAACGTTGACTTTGAGGTTGCTTCGTGATGCATTTCAAATCATCGAGAGAAGTGGAGTTTCGCTGGAGAACTATTTAGCGACTCATGTGTACTAGATAAAAGCACAAGTTATAACCAATTAAGTATTATGTCCTAAAAACTAATTCTAGTCAATAGCACGTTTAAACTAGTTTTCAGATTCTGGGATAAGCTTTTCTGTCATCTCTAATTTGTGTTTCAAAGACTTTATTACGCCACCATTCCGCGGTATTCGTGCTTCTTGTTGCAGATTTTTATGCCTTAGAATCTCAGGTGGTGTAAATCCTCCTACAAAATGTGGAACAGTCCTCTTTGATTTTGCTTTTGCAAGAGTGGTCGTCTAGCTCCTCCCCTCAAGGCCATCACTAACCACAACAATGAAGTTGGTTTTTCTCAAAGACTCCTTGTGCTCCCTCTCATTGCAGGAGCCACTTTCTGTACTTGAAGAAGAGTATAAAGCTGGCAGCCGTGTTTTTCTTGCCAAGCTCCAGGTAAACGTCAAGAGCTTTAGTTCGATTCCTCGAGATAGGAGTTCACTGATTCATCTTTCATTTTGCTTCCATAGACTCGGTCAGAATTGGCGAGTGTGCATGTTGAAGTTATTATTGATTAGGTTTTTTTTGTACTATATATTGATGATGATCATTTCGCAGATACTGAAACAAAAGTACGGTGCAATTAGGCGTGCTCGTGGCGATGGAAACTGTTTTTTCCGAAGTTTTATGTTCTCTTACTTGGTGAGCACAAGTGTTCTTCTCTGAAACGCATACTGTGTCAAATTTCTGTTCATTTCAATTTTATCGTTATTTTATTTTATTTTGATTTTAAGCCTGATTTGGTTGAGTGTTTTCTGATTGAAACATATGACTGGTGCAGGAGCATTTATTAGTTACACAAGATGTAGCTGAGGTCGCGCGCATGGAGAAGGCTATTGAGATTTGCAAGAAAACCCTCATTGATCATGGTTTTGCTGAATTCACATTTGAAGATTTTCTGGCTGTAAGTGACACTACATTTTTGGCTCTTGTTGATACAAGGTTGTCGAAGTTGTTACTTCTGGAGACGTAGATTTGAGGTTGAAGAGTATCACATTTAAAAATAAGGTCAATTACTGAATGTTATATCTTTGCATTTCTCTCAGATTTTTGTTGAGCAGCTGCAGAGCGTCATTCAAGACAAAGAAGTCTCTGTAAGGTATAAAAAAACGTATGCTATTTTTTAATTACAAATTGAAACCGTCTTAGCTTCCTGACCAAATTATACTGTTTAGTGGAATTTTCCCTCCACGCTTTCTTGTGTGTTCGGTAGTTTTGTTGCACATTTGAGCAATGTTCCTCAATGCCCTGCCCTTTTTGATATCTGTGACATCTTAACGTGCTTTTTTTATTTGAAAATGGAGTTTCTGAAACTAATTTAACTTTTTGTGGTGGATCAGCCTTGAGACACTAGTAGAGCGCTGCAGAGACCAATACATTTCCAATTCTGGTAAGTGACTGGGTATGAAATTGTGATAATGTTCGTGAGGGTCAGACTTCGAGGCTTATTTTTGTCGTTTATATGTAAAACCAGACTTGTCGTTTACAGCTGTTCTGTTAGGTTTCATTCACTTCAGAAGATTCTGCTCTCAGTTCTGAGTGGCTCAGATGACATTGGTTACTTTGGGTTCTTGAGTGTCTTGAATTAATTTCGTTCATAATGTCTTATTCAAGTCTTTTAGTCCTCTTTTTTATCCTCACTGTTGAGAATGTTATTTTGATTGTAGTGTATTTTCAGCAAGTTATCTTACAGAATGGAGACTTCAGTGGTGATGTTTTTCAGATTTGTGACGTCTGGTGAAATAGGCCGACGTACGGAATTCTTTGAACCGTTTATTCAGGGAATGAGCAACATGAGCGTTGTACAGGTGGGTTTTTGGCTATAGACGCTCTACTATGTCATTTCTCTTTTTTCATCCATATCCTCGTGGTACAGCAACATCAGTCTCTTTTTGAATGGCTCCAGGTATTTTCAGTTCAAGGTCCAATTTGCTAGGCTTCTCTATGTGCCTTTCGAAATCAATCAGCGTGAAAATTGAACAACCAAGTGCGTCACGCTCTTCATGTTTTCAGTTTGATGTTTCAGCCATGTCTTTATAGCTATGTATCCACAATTAATTTACTCACAGTGCGAATGTGGATGGTGCAGTTTCGTCGGTCATCAGTGGAACCTATGGGTGAGGAAAGTGATCATGTCCACATTACTGCTTTGTCAGATGCTTTGGGAGTACCTGTACGTGTCGTCTATCTTGACCAGAGCGGGGACGTGAATGACAAGCCTGTGATTGTGAACAACCATGACTTCATCCCCGAAGGAATGGATGCGGCTGTAGAACCTAATGTGATCCTTCTATATCGTCCAGGTCATTATGACATTTTGTACCGTAAGGAGAATTCTGAAGATGCATTACTCTCTAATTTGGAACAAACAGGGTAACGAGAGCACTTCCAAGTAGACAGAATAACTTTGCTGTGGTTCATTAGAGGCATTTCCAACTGATGTACCACAGGACTTTGAACGATTAAACAAGGTTCGACCGAAATCATTCTCCTGCTTGAGATCTTGAGCTTCTATTAGCACGCTCCGGCTGTGATCCAGCAGCATCCAATTCCATCTGTCATGGAACTATTGACAATGTTCTCACCGACCTGGTAAGCCAAGGCGAACAGCACTATCTAACTGAGTTCTTCAGATGGTGTTGGTAATCGGCAATAAACTTAAACCATCTGTCTCTCGTTTAGAATCTGATCCCTAGAAAGGAATCCATGTTGCTTGGATGTGTTTCCTACGGTACAAAATTTCGGAAGAATTGTGTCTGCATCGTAATTTTGAAGTAGACATTTTTTATCGGCAGGTTTAGACGCATTTGTTTGCAGCGATACATCTTGTGTATTATCTTTTATTGTCATCCTGAGTACACATTTTTGAGTAATCACGCGCTAGATCCTCTAATGTCAGCTAGGATGATTTTGACATCATTTAGACCTATTGCTTTGTTTTAGCGACCTAGGTTTCGCTGCAGTCGTGACCTAGAAGCACATCTCTCAATGTCAACAGCTGTGCAGGCTAAGTAAATGTAGTTATACTGTGTCATTATCCTCACCCACTTCACTGTGAAAACATCACTACTCGGAGTCCGTAAGAAAATCTCCGGTGAGGAAGGTCGACTAGGCTAGAGCTTAAGTCTCGAAAAAACACTTAGTGTACATGTAGCATCTGAGAATGCAAGAAAAATCACTGGGCATATGCTTTTAAAAGGTGTGTTCCAGTTGATGATTTTTAACGCTGCTGATGAATTTACCTACTACTATTGAATGTTATGCTTGCAAATTAGGAGCCATGTAGTCTTGGAAGTGATTCCTGTTCTAGCCTTGGCAATCCACCATCAAATCAATTTAGTTAAAAACATTCTCACTGGTAATGTAGTCAACTTGACGTAGTACAAATGAAGAGGGAAAAATGGCAATGTTGCACACATTCACCACCAAAGTGAGGTCAATAGAGTGATTATGTTATTTTGAACATGTTATTGGGTAATGGTTTAGGGTTTAGGGTTTAGGGTTTAAAAAAAAATCAAAAGAAAAAACATGAAATAAAATGAAAATAACATCTTCTGAACCAACAAAATGGTAGAAAATTTTAAAGATGTTTTGATTGGTGTAGATGGTAATGGAGCTTTATAAAAGTTGGTTTTTTTCAAACTATGAGCTTGGGAAAAAGTTATATTACATAAAGAAGTCTTTATTGCATGATTTTTACACCAATATTGACTTTAAGTAATGGATTTTGATGAAATTTGTGGATTTTGTTTTTGAAGCAATGCTGCACAATAGGCTTATTTCATAATCTTTCTTGCATTGGCAATAACAATCAACTTGAGTTGTTTCCTCATGTTATTATTGTTTTAAAACAATATAGAATATGCATTGCACATGGTATGCAAATATTTTTGATAATTCTTTGGTTATAGAAAATATATAGATTTTTATGTTGAAAACATTGTCAATCCACTCTTAGTAGTAAATAAAGAAACACTTATATTAGAAAGATAACCACCTTGTCACCTTCTAATCTTTAAAAGCTAGTAGTATTATAGAGATTGTAATTGTGCTAAAAAAATGGTTTTTTACTACAATTTCTTTAGTTAAAATTTATTTGTTAAGGTACATAAGAGCCAATAGCCTAATATTTTTGATGAATATCTAGTTGTGCCTTGATTCTTTCATTGGCTTTGAAGGTTAAAAAATCAAATTTTCAATGATTATACTATCATGGCATTTTTACCCTTACTCTACTTAGTACCAATATGTATAATAGAACTCCTCATTGTAACTCCATAATTTATATTTGTTGTGAAAAAACTTCTATTTAATTGAGTTTTTGATTAATTAGTATTGGCTTTGTTAGACTATGTGTAGTAGCAAACTAATTCTATTAATGTGTACACAAAGGTATTATAGTTATAATAATAATTACTTCTCAAACTTATTTATTAATACTTTATTTCACATCTTTTATCTTTGAATTTGTGTTTTTGACTTCACATGATTTGCTTTCAACTCATATAATGTACAAATTTATTTTTCTTTTGTGTGTATATAAATTTGGTATTCTAAACCCACTAAATTTGGTAGAAACTCATTGATATTTTTACACATAAATCACAGAACCTACTTAATCAAATCCACAAAACATCAAGTGCTAATTGACAAATTGAAAGACCATCTTTGAGTGAAACCTTGAGATAAATACAACAGATTGATAGATCATATATTGATGTACGAAGTTGTCAATATATCAATGTTGTATCAAATTGTCAATGTCTCTTATGTGTAAATTTTGAACAAAACTCTAAACAAAGTAATAGGATTCAACCAACTTCAAGCTTTGTTCAAATGTATGTTAAATTACTTACACGCAAATATGCTATGTTAAAATAAAAGACGTTCATATGAACAAGCTGCCATCTTGCACTACATGATAAAACAGTTATGCGTTGAAAAATAACAAGAAACATGCTCTGTTTCAAAGCTAATCTTTCCAAGCTTGTATTTTATGTATTAAAATTGTTGATCTATCAAGATCACTGATACCAGTTAAACAAATAGCTGGTCGCATGGTCTCTCCAACTTCAGCCATTTTTAAACCTGCTTTCCTTACCGTCTCCACAAAATACACAAGAGTATCAGGATTCCGGATAGCAGATGCTATAAATGCTACAGGATACTCGTACACATTCTGTTCCAAACCATTAGTCCGTATTGGGCGCCCAACCGGAAGGAGAGACGCCAGCAAATTCACAAGAGGTGGTATGTTAAGTGGATCATAAATCAAATCAGCCCCCAAGCTGCAATGGCATTAAGGAAGACAGTTAGAAATATACAGTAAAAGTCTCGCTGGTACATGTGATGATACAACTGATGGCCATCACACAGTGCTAAAAAAACATTGCTCTATGATTAAACCAACTGTATAGTACTGAACAGAAAATGAAGATCAACTTACATAACATTACAATCCAAATTACGTTCTTTATCAAAGAGTGTCTCCCATGTCAACTGCCTGCACTCCACCTACATAGAAAGTAGTCCCCAATTAAAATAGGTGACTGTACCAAGAGTTTGAAACAACTACCGTGCAATATGGGAAAGAAATTGCTACTCTTACCCTAGTTGAAGAGTGTGTGTTCAAATCACTATTGGCTTGTTGCGCTTCTTCCACTTCCACATTATTGATAGACAAATTATTCTTCAAGTTGGCCAGGGTAGCCAAAGAACCATCAGTCAACATGATCTGACTCACACATGAAACTTAGAATCAGAAATCCTCAACAGCGACCTAACCTGAATCACCACCTAGCATATGCTTACCAATTTACTAGTACTTAACATATAGAAAGAGTACGAGTAACACATCATGCAACCTGAAAGAGAGAGAAGTGTTTTTTCCAGTGATTCCAATTCAGCACATAAGAGCAAACGTATTCGGTGATTCTGACATGAAAATTACGAAGAAAAGCGCCAGGCAGTACCTTTCCTGTACCAATTCGTGCAAGCAATACACCAACCATGCCTGTTCCGGCCCCTACCTGAATTTAAAGCAAAGTAATACTAGTCATCGTCCTATTTGATAACAGTTGGTTCAGATAAAAAAATATACAAAACAATCCGACGTTAAGTGTATGCAGATTTAGCGACAGCCTCACATTATCACAAAAGGAATGCAAAACCTTTTTTTACATGGTTTTTACATTTCATAGATTAAGCAAAGTCATGGAAAGAAAAGCATATAGTATTGACAAGCATTCAGCAATACATACTTCCAAGCAGTTCTTTCCAAAAAAGAGCTCTGGATGGCTTAAGACGAACTCAGAGAGCAGAAGACCAGCAGGCCACGTACTACACCTGTAACCATACACCCATGACAAAACATTACAGACTTGCTGCACCATAAGGATTAACTACGACCCAGTTGCTGGATTACAGGAAAATCGTAACCCGCAACCATTAAAGATGAATATATTTTCATTGACGCACCTGAAGTTCGACTACACTATAAATACAAGTGAGAACCTATCCCCCTTCAGAGAGCTATCTTGTTTCACTGAACAACATGATACACATCGTCTCACAGCTCTCACCTACTAACAGGTTTGCCGCTGGCATTTATGAAAAAAAAAAAAAAAAAAAAAAAAAAAAAATGCGATAGAAGATGGCAATCAAGGTTGATCCTAATCAACAGGCATGGACAAAGAATGCTTTCCGACCAAAAAAAACTCTAAATCGTCTCTGGCCATGTGAAATGAGGCACATACCCAGTGCCACCTTCCAGCATGTTCGAAGAGACTCGAAGTGTCACTAGCTGCTCATCCTCTTCCAAGAACTTCTTAGAGTCTGTCTGGCAAGCCAGGTATGATCTAGATTTGGGGGGAACTGTATAAGTGAAGGTTTTATAGCACTTTGAAGCTAGCTCAGAGGAGCCATCCTGTCACAGTCATATTCAGTGAGTTTGTAACCAGCATATACCTTCAGATGCTTGACTGTAAATCGGAGGTACATGCTCATGTTAAACTTTCTGTACAAAGAAATACCACAATGTCCCTGATCTGATGACACAAGTGATACAAGTTGATCAGTCACCTGAGGTGGCAGCAAATAGATAGCGTGCAGCTCATACAAGCCATCAGAAACTTCCTCACCGTCCTTTTCAGCTGCCAAAATAATCTCCTTCAAAGTACGCCTTACGTACAACCAACTTGGTGGGTACAGCTTGAAAATCTTCGCGACCACTTCATGAGAAGAGTGAGCGTGAGAAAGCACCCTCACCACGATTTCTAAATTGAACTCAAGCGGTACCATTTAGCATCTCGTCAGAATAGGTTGTTTACACGTAGATTGAGCTATCAAGGATAAGAAATGCAACAGAAAAAGAATAAAAATAGTAGGTTAAAAGCCAGTTAACCTCGTCATTGATGCACATGTCCAGAAAAAATGACTGAGCATCATTCGACAGAACACTCCTCCCTAGTTTCCTGCATAGCTTCACAGAGTTACATTACAATAAATCACCTCAAGTAGAGACCGACGTTATTTTTTATTAGTATTCAAATTTAAAATTAATCGGCGAAACAGAAGAATCAAACGAAAACGCCACGCAAGGATGCACTCCAATATTCAAGGAAGGAATATTACAAACAGAATAAGACTAGACAATAATCGCTCGATCTCCCCCACATAAAATGAAAAGGTTGGAGACACAGCACGCTGTGACAAGATGAGATCCCAAGACTAACTGTACATTACATAGCTAAAACAATTCCATAAGTATACTGCCAGGGAAACGACTCGATCGTTCACTTGTGATTCTCTCTTTTACCAGTCTTCACTAATTTCGAGACAAAATCAGCCACTAGAAACACCGACGATCCACTTTCGATTCACGTAAAGAGAAGAATGGCAAGGATGCATTCTATCCACAGAGTTAGCATGTGCAAAATACCATACGCAAATTCTGACGCATTGACACGACCAGGGCAATCCAAAAAAAAATGACCGTGATCCAGTCCCCAGGTATTGAAAACTGCGTCACCTAGCCAGAGAAATAATCACTGATGTCGGCTCCATGGCACGAAACGCAGCGCGCAACGCCCTGCCGTCTGGATTTATCTCCATCTCAAAAACCTTAGAAATGTCCATCAAAGCAGATTTCAAAACATTCTTGCGCAATTCGCGACGATAGGGATCTAAGACAAGTTAATTGAGATTCATGCACACGCTGCTTCATGCCACGCGATTGACGACGTCGCAACCGGGAAATTCGAAACTGACACTCAGGGTTTAGGGTTTCCCCTCTCCGTGTCCTGAACTGGCGCCATTGAGTTGATTTGGATGAATAACGTCCTTTTATGGATGACAAACATCGACGACAATGAGCAGTTCTTCGTCCTCCCTCCACGTAGGCTTTTTGTGGAAGGCTGTGACAGGTGGCAACCACGCACGCACGTGGATAATCAAACGTGTCTCTTCTCTGACTCCACTTCTATTACGACCTTAAAGAAGCGTTGCCCAAGTTGTTGAGGGTTATATTGAGATGGCTGTGTGAACAGGGTTTCGCTGCTCAATCAACCTCGTTCACCTAGTCATGAGTTTCATCCTCGTCGATTATTTTCATTCGAAATTAGTGAAAACCACACACACACACACACACATATATATATAGATACAATTATATTGTGAAAACATATGTTAGTAGAATTGAGAGAAAAATGATGTGAAAACTAAATTTACAATAACCTAATCGACTCACAATTTTATTATTAGAAAAATAAAAAAGATTTATTGTTGTAATTGCAAATAGATAAATTATAAATATATATATATATATATATATATATATTTCCATTCCTTTAGTATACTCAAAGAATAGAATATGAAATATAAAAAATATATATTAAAGAGAAAAAATTCTAAAAAATACTTCATTTATTTATTGTTGGAGACCCTTGATTTGCATTAGAAGTCATAGTTAAAAACAAAATTTTAATTTACAATGTTATATAATACAACAATGAACAACAAATATGTGAATATCATAAAAAGTGATACTAAATACAATAATAGATTTTATCTTGAAATAAAGTATTACTTTACAAAAATTCATTCAAATCTCACAATGTCAAATGAAGTTGACAAAGAAATTACATCATCATTACTTAAAAACGCATTAGATACTAATCCACAATTGTAAAATGTGCAAAACAAAAATTTATGATCAAACCTACATCTACTTGGTACAAGTGTCTTCAAACAATAATTGTAATACCCCACTTTTTATTTCCGAACTTGAAAAAGAATGCTATTCTTCATGTTAAGTTATTTGTGCAACAAGTAATGAATTAATAAAGGAAATTATTAAATTAACCCACCCATCCTAACCATCATCAAAATAGTCAAAAACCAATGAAAAAGTTGTTGAATTCTCAACCAATGATGAAGGGTGGGTCAGTTTAGTAAGTGCCTAAGTCAATTTTACAATCCCCTTAATTAATTTTTTAATTTATAAAATTTTGCAACTATTACAAGCACCTGAATTTGACAAACCCACCCAAGCCATCAAGGGATGGGTGCCAGCGTGGCAAGAACATGAGCCAGCGTGGCAAGAACATGAGCCAGCGTGGCAAGAGAGCATTCATCGAATGATCACAACGAGGGGTTGTGGGAAATTCTTTAGCTGAAAGGCCTGCCATGAAGTAAGTTGGCACACAGAGTCAGTCAGTCCATGCAGGTGGAAAAGGCGGGGTGAGGCGGATCGGGAGTGACGTGGAGAATGAGACATGGAGAATGAAATCCCGAGGGCTGGCGCCACCCCGACACAGACAGTAGGCGGGAACAAGGGATATGATCAGAAAAGGGAAGGGGGAAGGGGAGGAGTTGTTGAAGCGGAGAGGGGGCCGATCCTCTCGCAGTAGTGAGACACACAATCAAATGGAGCACAACCCGCATTTCCTTCTTGCTTCTTGGCATGATGCATTCGGCTCCGTTCCTATGCGCGATGGCGCTTTCCTTTCTTCCAATCGTGCCCTCCTTGTGAAGGTGCTCTTTCACCTCCTCCCACTGCCCTTGCACTGTGACTTCTTGCATCTCCCTCGCCTTTCTCGCTATGCCGTTGCTGGTCCTCGCCTCGGTACATCACCTCTCTCTCTCTCTCTCATATGTTCAGTGATCAATCGTCATGTGATTGTAGTATCGTGACAACAATGCCGTTTCGTATTCTCTTTGTTTCACGCTTTGGCTGTGTGTGCGGCGTGTCTTTGTTATAGATTTTTGATTTGGTCTTCGTTTTCGATTTTAGGAATGTGTTGATCATTGTCTTGTCGTTTGCTGCAGGTAGTGTGGTAATGAGCAGAGGTCTGCGGAGTTTCTGCTGGTGTGGAGACCTTTAATTATCGTCCAGCTTTGTGCCATTTGGATCCGTTGTTTGGAACTTTCGGGCCAGAGGACGCCACGGGCATCGAGGGTGAGGGTGGAGGAGGAGGGGGTGGGAGTGCCGTGGCGATGGGGCGTTGCAGGGTTTTTGTAAAGCACGGTAAGGGGTAGAGCGCGATCAGAGGTTTGTCATGTGCTCAGCATGCTCCGGTGCATTGTGCGTCGGATTAAATTTCATCGAAGAAGAAGAAGGAGAAGAGAATTCTGCTTTACTCGCCGGCAGGCAATTGGGAGAATTTTAAGGAAGAGAGGTCTAGGAAGAGTTGATTGGATCTGAATTGCCCATGAAGTCGGCGTAAGACCAGCCAGAATTGAAAACTGACGTGCTCACAGTGTTGTGGGGGAGAGGAAGTTGGCGAAGAGGAGACGGAGGAAGCCGCAAGATTGAAAGGATTAGAAATTGCGGTCAAGAGGAGTGGGCTGGTAGGGGGGAGAAGTGAGGGTATATCGATGGCATGCTCATGTGTCGGCAGATTGTTCTGCAATCCATGTAATGTACAGCCATCTTTTCGCACTGTTTCCAACATGGTGTCATCTGGCTTTACATCCCAACTGCGTTTGATCTCTCCAATGAAGCTTCCCTCAGCATCGTCGTCAGCATTGTTTTCTCTTGCTCTGCTGAAGTCATCGTTTCTTCCTCTTATCACTGCCAATTTTTCTGCTCAAGGGGTTGGGATAAGTGTCTCGTCGTTCAAGGTCCATCAAATTACTGTCCAAGGTGGGAATTCTTTTCTAAAATCTCTGCTACTTTTCCCTCCATCTCTGCCTAGGCACAGCTTTCTCAAGTCTGGTGTGAAACTTCCTTATCACAGTGTTTATGTTGACTACCAACTTGAATAGTGCTTCTTTTGGTTTTTCTATAATGTGAAAATTTTCAGAAACCTTCTTCGCTTGTCTTTCTGTTCAGGTCGTACTTAGAGAAATGAAGCGAGATGCAGAAAATAGGTCACCCTGCAAAATGCCCGAGAGCTCATAAAGTCTGGTCCTGAGTGGACGTTGTAGTTTTGAATATTGTTACGTTACGTGGTCTTCAATTATGTTGGTGGACATGGTTGTGAGGCGTTTTGATGCGAATGAATTATGGTTTTGTATGGTATGTTTGTGTGTTTGCAGTGAAACCCGGTAGGAATGATTTGGTGGTATGCTTCGGGGAGCTCCTTATTGACTTTGTGCCTACGGTTGGAGGTGTCCCACTTGCTGATGCCCCAGCGTTTAAGAAAGCACCAGGAGGTGCACCTGCGAATGTAGCTTGTGGGATTGCAAAGCTCGGCGGTAATTCTGCTTTCGTTGGCAAGGTTTGTCATGTGCTTCCTGATATACTTTCGAAGCCATCCTTGTCGAATTTGCTGGTCATGCAGATAGTCCCAATCGGATTATCCGAGAGAGGTCAAGCATTCTCTGGCAATGAATTGTATTGGAGTTGATGTCATAGCTTTTCTGGAGTTCCGTTTTTGCAGAAGTTTGTAAACTTTGTATTCATTCTACTGAAGATGGGAGAACTACTCAATGGTAAATATCAATCTTAATTGAGCTTGGGGTATGCTGCAGGTTGGGGATGACGAGTTTGGTTACATGCTCTGTGATGTGCTAAAAGACAACAAAGTTGAGACCAAAGGTATTAGGTTTGATTCTCAAGCAAGGACAGCGCTAGCATTTGTGACCTTGAGGGAGGATGGGGAGCGGGAGTTCATGTTCTACCGCAATCCCAGTGCTGACATGCTCTTTGAAGTTCATGAGCTGGACACTGATTTATTGAAGCAGGTACTGCTTTGTACTACTCCGTCATAAAATAGAGTGTCATCACAAACATTAATTTTGTACGCACTTTCTAAAATACATAGTACTGCTGGATTTTCTTTTTTTCTCCAGCTAGGAGTTTGAAGAATTCAGAAGCTTAAGAAGAAAGATTCTGATTTGTATTTGCAGGCGTCAATTTTGCACTATGGCTCCATCAGCTTAATTACGGAGCCTTCTCGCTCGACACATCTGGAAGCAATGCGCATCGCTAAAGAAGCAGGTGCATTACTATCGTACGACCCTAATCTTCGGCTGGCCTTGTGGCCATCGGCTGCGGCCGCTAAAGAGGGCATTAAGTCTATTTGGGAAAGAGCCGATATCATCAAGGTTTGTGTGACAAGATCACTATCCTCGTCTTCCCCTAATTCTTTGATGAAGCTTTGCACATTAGTGTTTGGCTCCTGCACTGTAAGTGGCGAGAACGTACTGGTGGTGCCCAACTTGAACTAACAAAATCATGATTTTCGGAAATTATACCTTCTGAAGGTTAGTGATGAGGAGGTTGTTTTTCTCACCGATGGCGATCCCAAGGATGACCAAAACAATATGAAAATGTTCCATCCTCGCTGCAAGCTGATGCTGGTGACTGAGGGTGGGGAGGGATGTCGTTACTACACCCCAGTATGCTCCTCGTCATCCTAGTATATCTGTCTTTTTGGTCTTTCATATGATTGATTTGACATGTTTCGAATTGAAAATGAGTTCCATACATTTTGAGGATAATACATAGTGTTTGATGGAAGCTGTCTGTTAATTATGACTAAGAAAAATGTAGTGAGTGCTTGTAATAGTTCCAATTGGTGGCGGTTATTCTCTGAAACACGATCAATGATCAAGCCAATGTAATGTTCATCTTGAGATTGCACTACTCACACTTAATGCTGTGTAAGTATGTTCTTAATTTATTTCCTGGGAATGGTAATACAGAAGTTCAGAGGCCATGTTAATGGTGTTAAGGTTCAAGTTGTTGATACCACTGGAGCTGGTGATGCATTTTGTGCCGGCCTCTTGAGCCAGCTTGCAGTAGTCCCATCCATAATAGACGTAAGGAAAACATTTAGTACATGTGAACTAGTTAGTTCTGTTTTCTTTTCAAGTCTGTATAGCTACTTTGTTACTGTGGTGAATAGTTCATGGTTTTTCGTGTTTCAATCTGGTCCTCCTTGCGCACATTCAAATTTAATAAGACTGTGTTTTTGGTTGATGGCACTTGCTGGCCAATGGGTCTTGAACTGGCTGTATTGTTGTGCTTTTTACACATGTTTGGTCATATCAGGACGATAACATCCATGATTTAACACTGTGTTCGTGTATAACTGCAGGATGAGCCCAAGCTTCGTAATGCTCTCACATTTGCGAATGCATGCGGAGCCATCACAACGACGGAAAGAGGAGCCATTCCAGCGCTCCCAGACAAGGACACTGTCTTAAGGCTTATACGTAAAACTCCTAGACTATTTGGTTATCTAATGATTTGTTTGCTACCTAATTTGTTTCCTGTTCCTGTCAAGTACTCAATTTCGACTAAAAGAGTTTCTTGTAAAGTCGCGACGGCAATCTGTAAAAGATGGAGCATATATTTTGGGCTTGTGGATCTAATTATTTATTTCTTGCCTTGAGCTAGGCATTTCTAGAAGTCCTGCATGTGATTATATCTGCATAATGGAACCACATTTAGGCAGTCCAGGTAAATATTTATTTCTAAGAGCAATTGCATCATTTAATCATGGTGACGAGGGGAAACTGGAACCAAATATATCTCAGATTTCGCGGTGGGGATGCGGTAAGAAATTCTAGCGAGGCCGTCATTGGAGCCTTTTAGAAATATGTGTTTTGTGTCCACGTGTAAATGTTCTGCATAGTACGGCAGCTGTCGTTGTGTTTTCTCCGGGATCAAATTCGGTTACTCGAAAGTATTGAACTAAAACAAATGAGAGTAATAATCAACCAAGTTTTATATTTAGCGGCTGTGTCCTCTTCAGGAACACCGACCCGGTCTTCTATGTCAAGCCCGGATGCTTCGTGGCACGGTTACCAAAAATGGAGATACAGGAACTCAACTACAACCCTGTAAACAACGCAAGTGCCAGTTTCTACAACAACGATGTAGGAGTGAAGAATCTTGATTGGGATGATGCCTCCTCAAGAAATGGAAGATATTACCAAGCCTGGTACTTGCAAGAACATGACCATAAGCGAATTTTGATACACTCATTTACTTTAATCAGAACGCTAAGTTCACACGTTAGAGTCTAGGCTTCAGTTTCGGTGTGTTTCCCCAGATGTTATGCAGGTACGCACTCTTGTGCTGTAGTAACTGTGGAATCTTTTGAAGACTTTCAGGATGCTCGCTCCATATTTGTTTGTCATGCTCTGCACTCACGAACTTCATTTCATTGGCGGTATTTCACTGTTTTAGTGCTAAAACAAAACCTGGAGTTTGGTTCATATTAAAACTCTGAGACCTGAACATGAGGCTTTTGCAGTACTGCAGCGTACTCATGCAAGTGGAAGCAGGATGAATTGCAAGTAATGAACTTGATCTAGAACATGTGCCTTGACTTTTAATTATAAGCTTCAGATTTCTACTCCTAAACTATTTCTTTCAATTTTAGGAAAAAGGCAGGATAAAGATATTATTTTTCTATCTCCATTTTTTTCTACTTTCTACCTTCTCTGGAAAACGTATCAACGTAAATATAGAAATACATAGAGAGAAAGAGAATGAGGGAGGCAGAGCCTTACACACACAACTAGCTGTTTTGTCAGTGGTCTCAAGTTTTGTGTAGATGATTTGGAGTTAGAGCCAAATCCTGTCTTTACCCACCCAATTCTGCTAGCTACATTTTTGAATGACGTTTTTTATGGGGATATTTAGACAAACCCCACGACTCATTGGTGTAACCCACGGAGACATCATTGTTCTCACTGTGGTGTCTGGTGACCGTGCAGGCCTTTGAGGAAGAAGACATCATGTTGCATAAGCAGCCCACACGTGCATACGGCATGGCACTTATTAGGAATACTCCCTAGAAAATTGGAAATTCTGAAAAATAATGTGCAGTCTGTACTAATGAAATTGTTTGGTCCTAATTTGTTCAGCAGGTGCAATTGAGTGATTGTTGTGTAGAAGGATTAGCCTGCATGATGTGGCTTGCTGTTTTACTTCTGCTGTGATTCACACATAAGGCTTACCTCTAAATTAATGTTTTGTTTTTTGCAGACCCTAAGAATTTTGAGTTCTTGTCATTGTTAACTTTGGATGTTCACAACAAAGTGTATTACAGCAGATGTATTTATACTGATAAACTTTGCAAATATGGTATTAAGGTTTGTCTTGTGGCTATAGCCACCTGTGCTCAGACTAGTTCACCTACAAAAGAGTCACGGTAAGCAATGGTAACCTTTACTTAGTGCTGTTCATCTGCCTGTGCACAGAGATTTTATTTAGGTTTTCCACTCTCCAAGTATCTTAGTATCTCAGTTGCATAGTTCTCATTCATTAACATGATGCAACAAGGGATTAACCATGTGAGATCTCTTGGTTCCAGCTTCACTACCTGCCTCCCATGTTCCTTCCAACGTTAGGAAGACTAAATTTATATCCTTGTTTTTTTTTTTTTTTTTTTTTTTTTTTTAATAAAAGCTAAATTGCAAAAATGTGCAGCAAATATAACACTATGATTTGACGAATGTATCTTGTAATTCGAAATCTCCTTATGAGTCTGCTTTTATCTGAAAACAATAATGTTCAGTGACAACTTCAGTTCTCTTCTATTACCCTTTTATGAAAATAACCTATCTCTTTCACTACAACTACATCCGGGTTTATATCTCTCCTCGTATTCTCAGCTATTGTTTTGTCTTTTTCTATCTTGTTTTTAACTATTAATTCTACTTAAAGCAATCTTAAAAATATGATTTAAGTGACCGAAAATGATGTAACCATAAAGTGATCAACAAATGATTATATTTTATATGTGTTTTCTTTAAAATATACATATAATATTTAGGAATTTTGAGTGGTAAATATTTGACAAGCCATATAAGAACACCACCACAACTAAAACAAAAATTCAAGAGATAAGATACTTAAAATACAGATATATACACGGTTTACTTACAATAATAATATCATAAAATACGAAATTCCTACAATCCATTTACTTTAACTTCTTAAATTGTTCATGATTTTTATGATTCCTTTTGATTTAGGTACAAACATATTTTTATCAACACATCAATCATAGTTTCCTTAGAAAAGCTAAACCTCAACTGTTCAAACCACCGCAAATGAAATTTATTTTAAAAAAATCAAAAAAAAATTATTGCAAAGACTTTTGTCGTATGCACTCATAATAATACTGTCAAAAAAGCATGCCAAGTTCCATGTAGTTTGTTTCTGGATACATAAAAACATGTCTGCTACCAAATAATTTTTGAATGGTTCAAACCTGTAGGCACAATCAAGCCCATTCATTAAACAATTTAATAAATAAAATAACCACAAACCAACACTTCCATCCTTTTCATGCAATTTAATTCAATTATAAAAATAACACCAAGCAACAAATCTCCACCACCCAAGCAAACAAATTTATACTTTGCCCTATCCTCAATAGAAAGCCACGTCACACCCAACTCCTCATGGATGCAATACCACCCTCCCTATTCATGGCATTCTAAGTATTCACAGAGATACCCAAAGCAAGGAAAAGAGTGAGAAAAAAAATCCAAAGGGAGTGAAAGTGGGCAGGAAGAGGCAAAAGAAAAAATAAGGCCCATGGACAACAACAAGGAAAACAAAGACAGGGCCAGATCTAGTTGGGGAAGAAGGCTCCGAAAACAGCAACTAGGAGTGCAAGACAGACAGCATCATGGAACAGTGAGCACAAGTTCGAAGGAAGAGGAGGCACAAGACGATGAGGAAGAAGCAGTAGCAGTAGCAGTAAAAAAAAAAAAAAAAAAAAAAAAAAAAGTAGCATATTGTTGTTGTTGTGGTCTTGTTGAGTTGAATTGAGTTGGGTTGAGTTGCAATGGAGGCAGTATCACCGTCCGCACATCTTCATCGTCCGCGTCTCGCATCAAGCTCCCGCCTCTCTCACACACTCACTCACTCCCGCTTCACCGGTTTTGTCTCATTAACGCCCGGCTTTGTCTCGTTCTAAACCTGTGTGTGACGATCTGAGCCGCATTGGGGTCTTAGTTGTTTGCCTAGTTTGCAAGTGGGCCATACCCGGATCTCATCACAAAGTTGTCTTTCCAGGATGCGGAGGAGGAGGAGGAGGTTTTAGTTTCCAAGAGAGAGATGGTTGAGGGAGAGTGAGACACTCGTTAGTGGGCTTGGGGAGAAGACGGTACTACGCCTTTGAAGAGTCGGCCTTGAACTAGTTCTTACACCCCTCCAGCTTACCAGTGTTGTTGTTGTTGTTGTTGTTGTTGTTGTTTTTATTTTTGTTTTTCATACCGCGTAAATATATATATATATATATATATATAATTAATGTGGATGATTCTTAGGAATTGTGGGAGTTGTTACTGAGGTGAAGGCACGGAGAGCAGTTGTGGTGCGTGCTGAGAGTGCTTTTAGGTTCTGGTTGTGTGTTTGGAGTGTGGATGGATCTGGGGAGGCCGTGGGTGTTGTTGTAGCAGTTTGTGAAGAATTCGTTGAGGATTGAGCTGCAGAGTTTGCCGGGTTGGATCCTGTGGTAAGGGGGGGAGGGGGGTGAAAAGGATGTAAGATCTACGATAAGGAGTCAGTTCGCAAGGCAAATCTCACATCTCGCGGAGGTTTGAGGTATAGCAATGGTTACGTCAAGTAGACAGTGAGCAGTTGGGGGCAGTTAACTCGCGGATCACAGTTTGTATGGTGGAGAAGGGACTTCTTCGGGGGATTAGAAAGGAGCGGAAGAAGGATTGGCTCGGAGCATGTTGCTGGAAAAGAAGGAGGTGTTCGTGGGATTGAACGGAGTCAAAATAGGGAGGGAGAACGGCATGCGAGCGGGGATGTTTAACAGTTCCAGTCCGTCTCCCCAGCAGCGCCTTCGCAAAGAGCTTGGTCGCAGAGGCCTTGCACGTAGACGTCCCACTTATCTCTCCCTTCTCCTCATTGCAGGTTTTTGTTTCTTCCTCTCAATGCTTGCATCCTCGGTCGGTAGCTTCGGGAACATATTTTTCTTCTGCCGATCTCTAGAGGTTTGCTGTTGTAACATTGGATCCTATTTTTCCTTTTTCAATTTTGCATTGTCTTGTGTGAGAGCTTCAATTTAAGATTGATAGTTCGATCCTCGGATTGGAAGAAAATATCTCAGATTAAGTCGATCTATTATCCTGCAGGAGTGCTTTTCATAGCAGGGTTCCTCCTTGTAGGGCTACAATGGCATCCCAATCCTTCCCAATCTGTGGTGAGTGTGGACACGAATTAGAATGAGTCTCATTTGGCGAGGGACGTGTGAATTTTAGCCAGCTTGAGAAGAAGTGATTGAGAGCCTTCAATTCTTTTTTATGGCCAAACTTCGAGTGGGTTAAATGAAAAAAAATGTTTCTAATGATTCAAGAGTTCATAATGAAGGACATTGTGATACTTTTGAAGTATTCAGTGTAAAAGTGGATGATTGATACATTAATCAGGAAGTGGTTTGCTGAATCATTCTTAGCTTCGCCCTGAACTTACTCCTCTGTATGCATCTACTTGTCAGGGTGAGAGAATACCTGGCGTCGATGGCTCAACCGACGAAGCACTCAGTCTGGACTCACTTTCAAGACAGCTTGGTGATCAAATGACTCTTTGCAAATCCTATGCTGTGATTGCCAAAGAGAACAACAATCTGCAGTTGGCTTGGCATCTGAGTGCCCAAATTCGAGCTGCACAACAGCTCCTATCTCTGGTATGTGGTGGTGTTCTATTCCGTATCAGTTATGATTTGACGTTTACTGCCACAATTGATGCATGGCGTACAAATGTAGGTTGGCTTCACAGGAATATCTTTTTGTGACACACGTATGTTCTGTTCCAAAGTAGTGTGTGCTTCTTTTCTTCCTCTTCCTCTTCTTTTTCTTCTTCTTCTTCTTTGTTAATATCCTCCGCATGTGTAATTTCCTTAGTCTTTTTTCTTCCCTAATTTTGGTGTTCAGGCCGCTACTCGGGGAACCCCGATTCTGTGGGAAGGGGCAGAACCAATTATGCGAGAGATGTCTGCTCTCATCTTTCAAGCCAAAGAACTGCACTATGACAGCGCCACCATGCTCATGAAACTGAAAGCCGAAATGCAGGTGAGTTTATGCTTCATGCCCTGCGTATGTGTGTGTGTGTGTGTGTGCCATCTTGGCTTCATCTATTCAATCCCTTATCAACTTGAAGCTTGCCAAATTTCACTAATGTGTACCTAAGGTTGATTGTCAGCGTTACCTTGTATTAGATTTACATGGTGTAAAGATTGTATTAACTTAACTTTCATGCAGATAAGGAATAAATTGTCGACTTATTTGTTAGTCATGTGGACAACTTGAGGTTTTCGCCAGTGATTATTTGACGACACGTACTTTAGATTAGCCTGTATGATTGGAAGAGATGACATGTAGGTCATTACTTTCTTGTGAGATGATTTAGTTCAGAAACTCTTGTTGACCTAATTACTGATCCAGGCTCTGGAAGAAATGGCCAATACAGCAGCTACTCAAAGCGCAACATTTGGGCAGCTAGCGGCAGAAGCAGTTCCAAAGAGTCTTCACTGCTTAAGCTTGAGACTTGTGACCAAGTGGGCTACGGATGGAAAGCTACGCGAAAAAGCGGAGGCAATGCAGAAGAGTTTCGTCCCGAAGCTCACGGATACTGCTCTTCAGCACTTCTGTGTGTTTTCTGACAACGTACTGGGTGCTTCCGTTGTCATCAACTCCACAATAATGAATTCACATAATCCCGAGCGCCTTGTCTTCCATGTCGTCACAGATTTTGTGAACCACGGGGCGATGCAAACGTGGTTCGCGGAGAATGACTTCAAAGGTGTGGCGGTTGAGATCCGGTATGTGGAGAGCTTCACATGGTTGAATGCTACTTACGTTCCAGTTCTCAAGCAACTTCAAGATGCAGAGACTCAAAGTTACTACTTCCGGTCTAATACTCCAGGTGGGGGGGAAGCTCAAAAAACTGCGCTCAAGTTTCGGAATCCCAAATATTTGTCTATGCTGAACCATTTACGGTTCTACATTCCGGAAGTTTATCCCACACTGGAGAAGGTACCCTATTTTCCTCAAGGTGGTTACGTGTTCGTGTTGCATGGTTAAGGAATATCGCCTCAGTTTTTTAACGGGCTATTTTTATTCTGATAATGTACACGTCTCGTATCACTACGTTCCATTCAAATGTTTGTGGTAACAGCTGCGGTGGGCTTTACATCAAGGTTTGGATTCACTTGTTTATTGGTTGGCTGACATCATTTGATTCTCCTTTGTAGGTCGTCTTCTTGGATGATGATGTCGTGGTTCAACGAGATCTCTCCGACCTTTTCTCGCTTGATCTACACGGTAATGTGAACGGTGCAGTGGAAACCTGTCTGGAGAGCTTTCATCGCTTCCATAAGTACTTGAACTTCTCCCATCCGAAGATCAAATCTCATTTTGATCCAGATGCATGTGGTTGGGCATTTGGGATGAATGTGTTTGACTTGGTTCAATGGAGAGAGAAGAATGTAACTGCTAGGTACCACTACTGGCAAGAACAAAATGTAGACCGGACGCTTTGGAAACTGGGGACGTTGCCCGCAGGGTTACTTGCCTTCTACGGGCTCACAGAGCCTCTGGATAGACGGTGGCATATTTTAGGACTTGGTTACGACGCAAATATTGATGCAGAGTCAATTGAGAATGGCGCCGTTGTGCATTACAATGGCAACATGAAGCCATGGCTAAAACTAGCCATGAGTAGGTACAAGCCCGTCTGGGAGCGATATGTTGACTACCAGAATTCTTATTTGCAACAGTGCAATTTTCACTAAACCATTCATATACCTTGTTTAGACTAACCAGATTCCCAGGTCCATTTCAAAGATCTCGAAGTTGCCTTCTCATGCAAGCAAATGTCTGTGAAGATTCGTCATCCAAGTATGGGTTAGCTATTCAGCCAGTGCTTCAGACTCTCCTTGCCACGAAGTTGGACCTGGTTCAGCAATAAGTGGTGCATCAGAATTCGAGCAAACAGTGGCCGTCAACGCTCTCCAGGTCCTTGGAGGCGGACCTCGTAATCTAATCCTGTGAGAAACACTCTAACCTCAACACTGAACGAGTGGCAGCTTTTGTTAAGTTGGCATGGTTAATTGCACGGAAGCAAAGATGCGAAGTTGCACAACAAAGCTGATCCGAGGATAATCGGTCTTGACTGTGACGGGGTCTTTCTGGAAGCGACAGCTAGCAAGGAGCAGGCGGCGTAGAAGAGTGATCGCCCACTTTCTTTAAGTTTAATATTCTTCGATCAATCGTTCCTACTTAGGCTCATTTCTGGAATTAAATACAGGTATTCATTGCTTTTGAAAACTTCAAGTGGGACTATGTGTCAGTGGTCTTGGTACTACCTGTCCTCACCTTGGTAATACTTTTGTGTCGGTGTTTGTGGAATTGGTGAGAAATGTGTGTTTATAGATGTGTTCAAGATCGACTTGCAGAATGGTGTTTGTAAGTGTTTTGGACGTATCTGAATCCCACCTGCCTGTTACCAAAAGAGCCGAAGGTTGATTTAAGTACTGGCAGTCCATGAATAATTATTACTTGCACTCATGCGTGTGGGTATCTCATTCTAAACTTCCTCAACTCTAGTTTTCACTCGCGTTGATCCAAACGTCGGAAATGCAAGGATAGATGTAGATAGATTCAGCATCAGCGATCATCTCTAAGAGTATCTATGCGAGTTGACAGGATGCAGTAATTTAGAAGTGGAGTTAAATGTACGCTAGTACTTTACAGATACTCGAGCAAAACTCACAGATTTTAATTGCTGTTTGAAAATAGATTCTATGCATACCAGTTCCCTTGCAACAAGCTCATCTTGGATATCACGGTCGCTTATTGCAATTTCTTAGTGCCCATGATGTCTGCACATGGATGTTGATGTTTTACCCCAACTTGGAGTCAAAATGACAGAAGCGCTACTTTATTGAGATGGTTATCATAGAAGTTTCATTGTTACTGGAGAGATTGTGTCTTCTCGCTGTTGAGATCGCTGAGAGATCCCTGCATCTCATTCCAAAGGTCCTCTTCATGATTCTGCTGAAAATGACCCTCACTGCAAATGAATTTCTTTATTACCAATAATTTCATACTGAGACTAAAAGTCAAATACATTAAGACGTAACAGGAACTTGACATGAAAATGACATAACCCACCTTTCCCAGGTGGTCTGCAATGTGCAGAAGAGTCATGCAAGTTATAAGAGTGACACAATTTGTTCATTTCCAGCTGTTGATACCCTTATACCAATCATTTTGATTGCTCTGATATTACATAAACCTAATCTAGACCTACTGGAGATGGAGTTCAATTATTGATGTTCAGTGTATAGACCTTCAAGCAGAAGGGCTTCCAATACTGCCTCCCAATTTTTTATAACTAGACCTGAACTAACACCCATCATTTTCCTCTCATGTCATGTCTTTCAAAGAGTGGACATAAACTTCCTTGTTGGAGATGGATATGAGACATGCAAGCATTAATATGCACTTTGAAGAATCATTGAATAATTTACGCTTGTCATTGAACACAGAATGTGTAATCTGTACCTGAAACCAACATACTATGAATTTGGTAGATGCTTTGGAGTGGACAATTGGAGTTGCAGAGAAAATCATTTGTTCAACTAATAGAAATCTAAACCCAGTAAAATTCATTTCCATCATAAATCCTTATCGTTTGATCATGTTTTTCTTTGTCCCTCCCCCCAACAATTCACTAAGTTAAATTTATGTTGTTTTCTCTGCAACTAACAAACTTCTTTTTCATTCAAAAACAAAGATTTAAAAATAACTTATTAAAAAAATTTACTTAATTACTGATATAATTAAAATTTACAGCCATTATTGTAAATGTACCAATATCAAAAATAATATGCATTTTGTAATTGATTTGGTTTTCAGAAAGGGAGGCAATGGGATATTTAGTGGCTCATGTTGGGAAAGATATTATACAAATAGAAATTCTTAGTAAATGTTCATTTTGTTGATGGATTTAGATGGGTACTAAACTTTTGGTTTGCCCACTCGTTTTATTAGGTGTAGGAGATGAACCTATGCAACTTTAGTTTGTTTATGAAAAAAAAAACACATTTTGTGAATAAGAAATAAAAAGAGGCACCACAACTCTTATTTGTGCTAAGTATCAAATACAAGACCTTAAATCCCTTTTTTACTCTCACCTATTATTTATACTATAACTTACTGATTATATTTTTTATTGATATTTAATACACAAGTAAATAAATAAATAAATTCATATATATACATATATATATATCAGTTGGAATTTTATCTTAACCCACTATCTGCAAGCACAAGGTTTTGCACTCAAGAAATTTTAGATTATACTATACTTTTTGCTTGAATGTAATATATATATATATATATATATATATATATATATATAATCATTTACAAAGAGACCATTACTTATAAGAAATTTAATACAAACTTGTGAGACAATTTATTCAAGCACATGAATAGAAATTAGTTGTACAAACTCTCATTTAATAAATATTTCAATTGATTGTAAAAATATTTATATATTTAAAACAACTTGAAACTTATGAGCTTTCTCCACAAAAATAAACTTGTTCCTTCATTTGTTAAAATGCTCTTGTTAACTGAACTTAAGAAATTTGTGTACACACAAACTAATTATTATAGGATGTAAAGTAGTTTGTCATACTTAGGACTAGATTGCAAAAATAAACTATTGAAGATTTTGATAAAATGCAATGATGCTAAACCTAATAAAGTTTTGTGTACAAATTTAAACATAATAGTTGCTAATAAATATATTGTGGATTTACAATCATCCATAAAATTCATTATTGTTAGTAATTAAATAAATATGTGAATAATTTATTATTATTATTATTATTATTGTATTTACTAATTTTTGAGTAAAAAACATTTCCAATTCAACAAAATTAATTATTGTAATATTTAATGTAAAGTTAGCAAGAGTTAAATAAACAATTATGCAACACTGAAAACAGATAAATAATTAAATATAAAATGAGTATATAAAATCCTTATAAATAGACCAATACCAAAATTAAACAACAATGACAAAAGATAGGAAACAATTCAAAAAAGTAATAACATATGATTAATCAACTGATAAGCAATTTATAAAGACACATTCTCTACCTTAATTGGACATAATTGCAAAGTGTTCTACATCATATGTTGTTACATTGAAGTGGTCAAATTATTTAAATATAAATATAAATATTTGCAACAAGCACGTAATACCAACAATAATTAGAGCAATGAAACACACTTTCAACACACACCCATGTAATAAATAAAATTATGAACATTGTCATGATTAGTTTAAATGAACATGACGTGTGAAAAGAGCCATAAACGAAGAATAGTAATAATAAGAAGAAGGTATGTCCGGAGAGATGAAGCAATCTCTCAAGTTTGGAAATTAGGGTTTGCATCCCCGAATCGCACCGAGAGAGAGAGAGAGCATCACATTGTGCGGGTTAGTTTTCGAAGCACACGACCCCACATGCACACACACGTAGTTCGATTCCATCGAGAGCTCCAATTCCATTCCATTTCCCTGGTTTGCTGTCCGACATAGTCGGATGTGGATTGACACCCATCCAGGCCTCGTTTGCAGCTGTAAACAACTCTCTCGGATGTGGGCAGCAGGCCATGGCGATGGTTAGGTTTCCAGTGCTCCAAGTTCTTCTTGAGAATACGTGGATGTTGCGATTTCAGAGCATTTAGGACTATTCCTGGAGTTTGGAATGTTTTGGAGTGTTTAGGGTTTGTGGGCTCGATTGATTGTTTTATGGCTGTGAATGTTGTGCCGTAAGGAGAGTGCGTTAGGATTTCACAGCATTTGCGGTACATTGGTGGAGAGTTCGGTGGGTGGGTGGGTGGATAGGGATGCAAGGGGAGGGAGAGGCGTATTTCTCGCGTTACGGACTGCGGGGTATGGGTCATATGGCTGAGGACATTCTTTTCTGCGTGGATGCGGATGCCGAAATGAATGTGGAAATGAAGCTGGGGACGCAGGGCAAGGGGCTGTGTCGCTTAGATGCCATAAAGCAAGCAATAATCCTTTTTGTACACTCCAAGCTCATGGTGAATTCGCAGCACCGATTCGCATTTGCCACTCTTCGGAACTCGGCTTCTTGGGTATGGATACCCATTTTGGACTCGTGAATTCGGTCATGTCTCTGGGTTTTCGGTAGGGGCGTATACTCAGTGAAGTGAGACTGTGGGCTTCTTCTCAATAGCATCACCCCATTTCCCTCGCTTCGTCTTTGCTTTGAATTGTTCATTTAGTTAGTTGCCCTGAGAAATTTTGTATCTGCATATTGCAAGAAAATCATGTGCTCGAAGTTTTTAAGATTGCAGAATACCTGGCTTAGATCCTTTTCTACTTAGAGGAATCCATGTACAGAAAAAGTCAATCGTATTTCTGCATTGTATTGTTACACCTCCAAGTCGTAATCATGAGTCTTTTTGTTTACATGATTGAGGGTTTTTCCGATGAAGGTAGCTCTATTTTCGTCGCTACGTGGCTAGAGTCAATGATTTCATCCCCCAATGTATTTGTAGAAACTTATGATGACGTGCTTTCGTCGCAGTTGAAGAGAGGATTCTCCAGTGATATTGACGTAATTGGCCAAGTTGTGCGTGGTTTGGCCTCTTCGGGGACGTATCCTCGTTGTGACCTCTCAGAACTGTTTCGTATGGCAGCTGCAGAGGCACATCAATCCATTGCTTTGAACAGAAGGCTCAGAATGGTAATCTTTATTCTCAAGTTCTTCACTATTCGCAAGTTTTCAGTCGTTACAGAATTTTACCTCTTGGTATTTTTTTTGACTTCAAGATGGTCTTTAATGAGATGAGACTGAGTGCATCATGGTCGTGTTTCTGAAGTCGATTTGGACAGACTTGTGTGTCATTCATGAGATGGCTTACACTGTGATTTGTCCGTATTAATTGGATTTTGTATTAAGAAATGATTGGTGCGCAGTTTTGGACACGTCTTGTAGGGGTCGATTTGCTGATACTGTTGCATTGTACAGGTGCTTATATACTGCAGATCGTCTGTGCCTATAGAGGTAGCAATGCAGTGGCCGGACAAGCAGCGGCTCTTCACATTTGATGCCTTGTATTTGCATGATAAGCCCACTCATGAAAACTGCCCTCAAGATGTATATGACTCTCTTGTGGATGCTCTAGAGCGCGTCAGTGAGTTTGAAAGTTACATTTTTGAAAGCAGCAGTGGAAGTGCACGTTTGCTTTTCAGGTGAGCTTTATTTCAGTGTAGATTATAATCTTTAGGATATTACAAGTTCATTACATTCACTTCAAAATTATCTCTTCTCCATCTTCAAACTTTTAATTAAAGGTTCTTGTTCAAATCCACAGGTTCCACCAGAAGTTGTGATTTTGTTGTTGGACCAGATTCCAATGTAGGTCATATAATTGCTGTTCATTCCTCTCAATTGTTAGAGCAAGTGCTGGCATATCCCCCCCCCCCCCCCCCATCCAAGACGACCCCAACCAATCTTGTTGTCCATTTGACGTGCAGGAGTATGTGCATACTTCTTTCGCATCCTCAGCAACGGTGTCCACAAGATGAGTTTGAAGCTCCGAAGGATATCTCCAAAATGTTAGCTGCTGCTCCACACAACAGCACGTCAGGAAACCTTCCTGTCCCAAGGAGAGAAACTGAAGACAACAGCGGTGTTCCACGACCTCACTAGGCGCCTCTATTTTTCTTTTTGGATAAATCTAACAATGTATCTAGAGCGACTTGTACAAAAGTAGCAAAAGCAAATCACTTTTTTTCGTCTGATCATCAAACTACATTGAATTGCTATGCTATTCTGTCTACAATCAACGAAGTGTCCTTAAAACATGTTTGCGATAGACTCTTGTGTTTGGGAGGGTTGGACGATGCACATGTTACTTTGAAGCTTTAACATTTGTAAAGATTGAGAGTCTATTCCGTCTTGTTCTGCGTCTTCCACTGCTTGTTATTATCAATCACTGTGATATTCTCAGTTTTTGCATTGGCCTGAATCAATGAATCTGGAAGTCAGTCTTGGACCCCGGACGCACTTTCAAAATATTCATATTCGTGATACTTAAAGAAATTTAATGACGAAATGAGAGCTCAATGACCTAGAGAATTCTTAACATGTTCATTATTGTGCAATTCACCAAATTTTCTTTACAGCAGTAATACTAACTTCAAGTGTAGTGGGGGGTTTTTTTTTACCACTCAATTGTCCATAATTAAAATCATTTAATTTGTCTGACACATACCTCTAGTATTGAAGTAAAGTTGGGTGTTATATTATATTTTAACAGTATATATATATATATATATATATATACACATATGTGTATGTATGTGTTCTTTAAGAATCATTTTAATATTTCTCAAAAGAAAACAACAATATAATTTACTTATAAAGAAAATAATCTTGCAAAGCATCTCTTTTTCTTGAATTTACTTTTCATGATGATTTTGGGTGTTATAGAGTGGTTTATCCATGATTCTACAAACACATGAACATATATAAAATTTATCTTATTTGTGAGATTATTTTTGCAATACTCTTGTGAAATCCAAAATTTTCATAGGTCTTTTGAATCTAATGCTGCTCACTTACACAAAAATACACATTAATACTAAGTATAGTTTTAATGTAACATTGACTTCAACAATTTTTTCTTTAAAAGTAAAAAAATGTATATATATATATATATATATATATATATATATAGAAATTTACAAAAAAAAAGAAAAAAAAATCCTCAAGTAAAAAGTTGCAATATATATATATTTTTTAATGTTTTGATATGTGTATGTATCTCACACAATTTCTTTACCAAGATAAAAATGACATGACTCATGGTACCATAGATAGAAAAGTCTCAATACCAGAATCAAGATTAGAAATAACCAATTCATCCATAACATTCAAAATAGAGTGGAACGTTGCATCCTGTCAAGGGGGCACAACTTTTTTAGTCGCTCTTTCCTTGATAAGATAAATAATTTACATACAATATTATTATCAATTAATTCATATGGTTTCTGTAACTCTTAGATTCACCTACTTCTAATATGGTACCAGAGCAAGGTTATAAGAGAGTTTTTATGATATAAAACTTAGAAACACAATAAACAACATAGGAAAAAAAGAGGCTTTGTAGAAGTTATTCAATATAGAAAGTTGGGACATTAGTGAATCCTCCTTTTGACTTCAAAGAAACATGGCTTTAAGCAACCTTGCCAAAAAAAAATGGCCAAAGTTTGATACCTTGTAGTACTCTATCTGGAAGAAAAAGATTCAGATGAAGTTTGAAACAAAAACATATAGGATGTAGTTTCAAGAAAAAAAACACAACCAATACCAATTCAAGAAGTAGGTGCAATAACAACAACACGACCAACCAATCAAATTAAAATCTTTACTTAGAAAAAGAAGAATCATGTTGCTTTAGCAACAATTTAGGATTGTTCAAAAAATTCAATTTTCTCTCATGTCAGAGCATGCAAGACAATTAATGAAGCATGGCTAGCCCTTGAAAATACATACTCCACAAATGATGTAGTCACTCAAGCCCACCTACAAGAAAAATTCATCACACAAAAGAAAAAAGTTAAAGAATTAGTAATTCAATATATATATAACTTCAAGAATCTTCTTCAATAATGCCATTTTGTAGGAGTTAGCATACCCTCTTAAATAGAAATTGTCACTCTCATGAGATCTATGCCATCCTAGTATGACACTGTGATACAAACACTTCATACAATAAAGACTGCAACACTCCCCAAGTTAATTGCAATTCTCTTATAAGAAGAAATACCTATGAAAGGCTCCTCTTTTGACTCTCATGCCATTTTAGTAGAATGCAAAGGAAAGATCAACTGACAAATATATAAATCAATCCAAATAGACCATATGCTTTCAGAACATTGAAACAAACCTACTACTTCTTGTTAATATTGTAAGAAAATAGCCACTAGAATTCTAAGTGTTTCAAAATATAACAAAAGTTGCTGCAAATTAAAGAGCAATAAATCATGACAATAAGAAAAACAAACCCATATGGAAGCAAGAACAAGTAGAGGAATTATCTCCTGCTTTTTATGCCCATGTATACTATACATAAGCTTTTTGCTTATAGATATTGCCTAAATCTAGAACCACCAAAGTCACCCAATGATTCATTGATACTGGAGCCATATACAACTTCAAAATATAATAAAAACCAATTTATCAATTTCAAACCATTCTTATATAGTGACAACAAGGTCTCTCTTAGCTATGATATAACATTATTTATCTATGGCCAAAGAAAAGTAAAAATTTCAATATTCAATAACAAAACACTTCATCTCTTCAACACGTTATATGTACCAAATTTATATAAAAATTTGTTTTTAATATGACTATGATCTCAAAAGATGGAATATTTTAATCAAAAATCAAATGTGTCATCTTCTTGCACAAGACAATACAATCTTTGCTTCATGTCCTTTTTGATCTAATCAATATCTACTTTGATCAACAAAATTGCAGTAATAGAGAGTGGAGGTTCATTGTCAAGGATATAAACTCGAAGAAGATATATAAACTCATGGAATCTATATAAAAAAAAAGTGATAAAATAAAAGAGAGTATATATATTCAAGGAAGAACTGGAATGGCTATTGCCAAAGACTATAAAACATAAGGCTCTTGAAACTAAACTAAAAGCAAGAAAAGAATTGACAAGAGTGAGGAAGGCCTTACTCTTGCTTCTATATATACTACTTAACTAAGAACTATGTGGCAACATGCTATAGGAGCTTTAATATGCATCCAACTTGTAGGACACATGTCTAATTTGCAAGGCAAGTTTCTTAGGTGTGTGCCATATGTCCAACTTGTACTACAAGTAGTCAACATGTTGACATGTGGCCTACTTGTTGGCCAAGTTTTCAATCTACCAATCACCTATAGACATGTATAAAGGCAAAGCATCATCTATGAAGCTTCTATGAAGCTTTCTAGAAGATATTATCATATTTATCTACTTTGACTTACTTCTACCTATTCTTATTATCTAGAAAATCATCAAGGTAAATATGTATGTCCGTAACATTACCCGTCTTTTTAGGGACGAATTCCATGAGGAGTGGTGATTGCATGTTGATGAAGTCCAAGATACGCTGAATTGTATTTGCCACATACTTTGATCTTTATTCCCTTCAAAGGTAATTGATAGGTTCCTTCAACCATCGACAATATCCCATACCAGGATGAGAAGACCACCATGATATTTGATTATTATTGAGGCCTTCATAACTTCCTTCACACAAAACATTGGTAATACCATTAGGAGTAGTTTCTACCTCTAAAAATATCACTAAATATTGAAAGTCCCTTCCAAGGTTGTCGTATCAAACGCGTTATAACTTGCCATCTATTGAAAGAAGAACATGTCATTTTTGAGGATCATCTCGATTTTGCCATCTTGAAGGTTGTGATAGTCGCAATGTCTCGTCTAGTAGTTCAGCAAATGATAGCTTTTGAGTTGAATCTGTTAGTTTTTGGTTCTCTATTTCCTAAGCACTAAAAAATCCAAAGAAACAATGATACAAGATAGAATGAAATCTCTATAGGGCTTGCTTTGCTTTATAGCAAAGAATTTTTTGACTCTTTATCTTGGTTTTGATGAATGTCATTGATGAAAAGTTTTAACTTTGATTGATGCATTTGCTAGATTTCTGGATGGCTTCCATGTGCATTCATTAATGTCATATCCATGTCAATGTACGAAATATTCTAACCTATTTTGGTACTGCCCTGTATCTAAAACTTCTTCCACCTCAAATTCTTCAATATTGTCTACTTCTATAAGAGGTGGTGGCATTTGTCTTCTTCTTTGTATATCCATTTTCTTGTATGGCTCAAGTAAAGACACATAAAACATAGGATGGATTTTCATAGATTTTGATAGGTATAATTCATAAACAACTAGATTGATCTATTTCCAAATGGAAAATGGTCCAAGCTTATGATAATCCAACTTGTCACAAAGACAAATAGTTTTAATACTACAAAAAAGTAACCATATCTTATTCTCCACATAGAATTGAGGTTGTTCCTTGTGATAGACATCTGTGTTGGCTTTTTGTCGTTCTTGAGCTTCTTTTAATTGTACCTACATTGTTACATGTAGCTTTAATAATTGATTTGCCACATCCTCTGTTACATGATTATCAACTTTTGAAAAGTCAAAAGTGTCAAATCATGGATGATAACCATAATTAGCAATAAAAGATGTTTGTTGAGTAGAAGAATGTACCAAATTATTATAAGCAAACTTTGTCAATGGCAAAAGAGTTGTTTGAACATCTTGTTAATAGTTAATACCTCAAATAGTATTCTAAAATTTGATTTACTTATTTTATTTGTCCATCAATTTAATGGAAAGCCGAAGATAGTTTTATATCCACCTTTAATATCTTGAAAAGAGTTCTCTAAAATCTTGATAAAAACTATGTTCCTCTATCTGATATAATATCCTTTGATAATCTATAATAGCAATAGATGTTGTTAAGAAAAAATTTAGTTGTTCCTTCACCTATGATAGATTTTGTATATAGTACAGAATATGCCATCTTGGTGAAACAATCTACAATCACAAGTATGGAATCATATGAACTTAGAATTGGAAGATCCGTGATAAAATCCATAGAGATAGAGGATCACAGTTGTTTTGATATAGATAATGGTTAGAAGAGTCTATAAGGTCAATGACAATAATTTTTTGATCTTAAATAAACATCACATGTTTGCACAAATTCTTTAATAGTATTTTACATTTGAGGCTACTAAAAATCTCTAGATATAAGCTCCAAAGTCTTATTATATCTAAAATGTCTAGTTGTAGGAAAATTGTGATGAGCTTCAAGAGTACATTGTCATGTTGTAACATGAGTATATG